AGTTTTAGTGCATAGTGATTCATTTGTCTACCAATGCCTGCCAAAGTGACAGCATTGTATCAACATAAAAATAACCTAGTGGTGGAAATTTGCCTTCATTGGTCTTGTGCTTCTCTTTGCAAACTATGTGAGAAGTTCCATGTCCTGAAATCGTCTTACACCACAATTATCTGCAAACACTCGCACTTTTCAAAAAAATAACACAAAATATAAGAAATTAATGACAGAACCGCGAAAATTTACTTATGTCAAGTGCACTGTGATTCTTACTACATACTATGAGAATTAGGAGACACACAAATCCATGACTGACTCCTTCTATCTAGTCTAAATTCGTTGATTGGCTAAGTGCCCCCCATCACTCAAACGCTGCTAGAAATAATAGCTTCATCAGTCTTCTTCACCGATTTCAGACTACAAAGTTTATCGTTTCAGGAACAAATTCTGGAAGTGTACCTGATCGACGTCACCAATCCATCCAAGCCATTTTGCATCAACACAAGATTGGTAGAACTTGGACTAGCCACATACCCCGATCAGGTAATAATCGAAACCACGCGTCCAGTTAAGGAGAGCAAAAGAAAAGTGTTTCTTAGGCTGTTGGCTGAGAAGCGAAAGTCTAGGCTGAGTGAGACAGAGTGGCAAGGAGATTAGTGTGTGTATGTTCACTAACATATGGTATTGTTTCATATGTTTAAGCTGGTTTGTACCCATTTACATATTGTGCTGTGTGCTATACAAACACTTAGCTTAGCCATGGTGTAAACCTTCGAGGCCATTTCAAGGTCAAATCAAGACGTTGAAAACAATTTTCTCTAGCAAAAACGTTCGACGACCACCTTCACGGTTGTGGCCAAACATTTACACCTTAGATATAAAATTTTTTGGACTCTGGAATTTTAGCATAAAAATCAAGGGGTTGTGTTACAAATAACATTTAAGATCAACATGACCTTGACTTGGAGGTCAAGGACACATTCGGACGTAACTGCTGCTTTTCCAATGCCAGGATTAAAATGATGGGTTTGCTTTGAACATTTTGTCTCAAACTTTGGTCATGGTCAAGATGATGGTCACGGTGACAACTGTGCTGTCGAACATTTTTGCCAGAGCGTGATACGGCCTCGAAGGTGATTGTTGTGTTCATCGTCAAGGTCATATTCAGATGTTGGCTTTCGTCCTCTTTCCAAATGTGGGGTTCCATTTGAAATTATATGTTTAACCTTGAAATGAACTTGAAGTTCGTGGTGCAGGTCACCAGAGTTTTGCTTACTCGGAATCCTACAACTCGTGTTGCCAAATGCCAAAGAACGCAAAAAACCACCTAGAACTGTTGTTGCAACATACTTCACAAGAAAAACAACATGGTGTCCTTGAGGTGTCGAAGTACTATTTTAAACATTTTTTTCCGTTAACAAAATGCAGATGCAGCATTAGGAGTCGAAAATTGCATAAGAGTCGACCGGAATATAAAATATGTTATCATTATTTGTATGAATAAGTTTCAAGTGGTACAAGAAAATGCCGTTTCACATGAACAGCTGGCACGTCCCTTTTTTTAGATTTTTTTTTGAACTTGCTGTTTGCAGCAGTATTCTAAATCCTTTTCATCTGATAATTTCATGGTGTGTATAGATATGACTAAAAAACAATGTTTTCATTTTTTTTTGTCAAAAAATTCATTTTTTTGTGCATTTTATTTTTATTTATTTTATTTTTCCTTCAATCAGAATTTGTTAACAAATATAGGTCGTAGGTGGTAGATGGTCTCTGACTGTCGAACGCGGAGGTACCACCCGGCGGTTCTCGTAGGCGGAGCCAGAATGTGTGCATGTTGCATGCACACGTGTTCCCTCGCCAGAGTCCGTGTGGCGTCCCCCCTTTCCCATGTATCCCCCATAGCCCCACGGTACCCAATGGGTGCTTAGGCCTTAGGCCTTCGTGGTAGTTGGAGTATAAAAAAAAAAAATAGGTACAACTCTGAAATTGTTTGTGAATATTCAGCTTTTATGGAAGAATGAGACGAGTGATTACTTTCGTTCTTATCACTTTTCCTTTTCAAAAAATCTTTGCTTTTCTTGAAAACTCAACTTGCTTTTATATAACTTGACCTGTTTGTATGTTAGTATGTCAGAATGTATGTGTGGGACAAATCTTGGAACTGAATTCTGAATCATTTAACCTTAACCAATTGAGCTGAAATTTTGTACACACTTCTGGTTCGCGTGAAAATAAAAATAAATTAGCTGCCGCTATTTTGAATCCAAGATGGCGATTCATCACTTCCATAGTAACACCTATCATATGGGTACACGTGAAGCGGCTTGATCAGAGAAACACAGTTAGCAATGTGCTGTCATGCTAAATCCAATATGGTGATTATAATTACCATAGTCACCCCTATGATATAGGTAACAAAATTAAAGGGCTTTATGAAAGAAACAGCAATCGAATCAGTAAATGGAACGATTTGGTCATTAGATGAAATCAGTGCCGGATGCTCTGCTGTTCGATTTTCGTCCGCCGGCGCGCGTGACGTCACGCGGAGAGTGATTATCATTTGGGTTAATGTGGAAAACGTGCATATTTTCACCTACATCTCAAACGGCTTGATAGATTTTCACATATGAGGTGTAGTTGGATTCGTCTTAGCGGTCCGAGTGACACAATCTACATTAAAATTTCATACAAAACAAAATGGCGGATTTAAACAAAAGATTTCAACCTTGTAATTCCTATCTCACAATAGAGCGTGTATCCTCACTTTACTGTAAAAACAAGATTTTTCTACATTACCTATATTTTAGTATGTTCTGTGGAGCAGGATTAACATGCTCATGACGCTAATACTGCACTACATTTATTCATCCTTACTTCACAGAACATCCTAAGTACTAACTACATGCAAGTGTGAAAATGTACGCAACTCAAAAAGTAGAAAAATGGAGTTATCATCTTTTTGCAGTAAGCTGGCAGTATAACAATAACTGGCAATTTCTTAGTCTAAGCGACAATTTTCCATCCATTTCCTTCCACGATTTTTCTGCTCTTTCTAACTTTTACTCAGTTGTTTAATCCGGAAGAACATCCTTGACCTGAAAAATAGTTTCTTAGCCTTTTCAGGGCAGTCAATGTTGCTGCTTTTCAACAGAAGTTCGCCTATAAAATTTTGCTTGTCTGTCACTATTCCGTCCCCATTGAATGTAGTAAACACCTTGTTAAGCTTCTCAATTTGATTCATGAAAGCTGTGGAAGGTTTTGATAATCCATTCTCACTAAGATGGTCTATCCAGGAGTAAGTTTCATTTGAGGAATTTTTCAACCTGTCATCCTGCAATTTATGGCAAACAAAGCCGGCCAAATTTTTCAGCCCATCATACTCGAGCTCATCCATTTCTTCCCTTAAAACTTCCTCGTTATAGTCAACTGATACTTCGTTAATGATGCGGTTAGTGGAATGTCCGGAGTATCCTCTCCCTCTACGCTGCAATACTCTGAGTATGCGTCTTCGTTTCGCCCCAAAATATATGACCTTATTCTACGTAGTCGTGCCATAAGTTCTGTCCCATGATAATCTCATGATAAAAATGAAACAAGATAAGATATATTTATATGAAAGATATTATTTATTCGACAACATTTTTAGAATTCATAATCAAACAGTTTTATTCAAAATGTCCCCCCTTGGCCTTCACACACTGCTTCAATCTCGCGGGCCACTCATCTATCACTGCACGCACAGCTTCCAAAGGAATAGCTGCCGCTGATCGGATCAAATCCGTTTTCAGGGACTCGATATTACGGTGGGCTTTGGAGCAGGCCAACTGCTCTAGCAGGTCCCACAACTTGTAGTCTAAAGGATTGAGGTCCGGACTCCCTGAGGGCCAATCTTCCGCAGCAATGAACTCTGGCACATTGCTTTCCAGCCAGCGCTGCGTACTCTTAGCCTTGTGAGCGGGGGCGGAATCCTGCTGGTAGACCCAGTGTTGGTTGGCAAACAATGTACCACTTAAAGGCTTGACGATAGGATCCAGTATGTCGCTCTGATAGTTTGCCGCTTTTGTTTTCACGCCCTGTTTACAGAAATGGAGCTGAGTGACCCCTTCGTAGGACACCCCCCACCAAACCATGACTGACGCAGGGTGGTGGCCTCTCTCAACTCTCGGAATGATCTCCGAAGCTTCCTGTGAACTCCTTGCATACACTTTGTCATTTTGTCGGTTGAATTTTTCTTCTATGGTGAAGATTTTCTCATCCGTGAACAAAATCTTTCGGAATCCCCCAGCTGCGTACCTCTCCAAGAGCTTCTTGGATCTTGTCGCCCTGATGTGTCGCAAGGTGGCCGTAAGTCGCTGGCCCGTACGTCTCCGGTAAGCCCCTAGCCCTAGGTCTTGTTTAATGATGCGCGACATCGTCCGGACAGGAATCTTCATTTCCCTGGATAGGATCTTCTGCTTCCGGAGTGGATTCCTTTGAATCCTGGCTTTTACGGCTTTGATGGCTGCTGGAGTCCTTACTTGACGAGGTCTTCCGCTTCTTGGCCTGTCATCAACAGAGGACGTCTCATTGTACCGCTGAATGGTCCTAGACACAAATTTACGCGATATTTGAAGGCCGCGTAAGAGTTCAAAAATCTGACTAGCACTGTGATTACACTTATGTAAAGCTATCACTGCAATACGGTTCTCTGCCTTGCCCCACTCCATCGTTATGCTTCGAGAGATCAATACAAACTGAGGTATATGTAATTACCCGAAAAGCGCTTAATCAACTGACACCACAATGTAAACAATCGGACAAGTATTAACAGGTCTACACTTGTTTGCAAACGAGGGACAGAACTTATGGCATGACTACGTATACTTAAACTCTAGGGGATAAGTTGATCCCTTTGCCTATTTTCGTAAGCATTTTTCCGCTTTCCCCATCAACAGATGTACATGGTCTAGGTGCCACCCTAACGCTTTTTACATTGACTTTGATTTTTCTTTTTGTATTATGTACCCATTTTTTGCTAAGGTTTGGGTCTTGAAGAAAACTGTGGAACTTCATGTCTTTGCAAGGATTCCGTGTAGATTGGTTGTCGGAATTACAACCTACAACAGCACACCGCATTTTTATCAATTTACTACCATCACAGGGCATATAGAGTATGTATAACTAATTTAACAAGTCACAAAACCACCAAAAAACACCATCAAATCGCACTATATAATATTAACCACGGTACACGTGAACTGCACGTTACGACAATCCTGCCGCTGGTAACCACGAGACGATAACTCTCCAGGTGACGTCACGAAGCTCCGTCCACATGCGCAATATCCTATCTTCAGTGTATGTGTATCGTGAGATGAAATCACAGATGTGGAATGAATCACTTTATTGACGTTTCAGCAACCAGCAGGAATAGTAGTTGATTATTGATGTTTAAGACAAAAGCCTTATTTATTGGCCAAACAAAGAGCGTGAGATAGGCAGCCACTGTCTATTGTTGATTTTATTTGCTATTTAGTACTGTAGGTTGTGAACTTTAATTCATCTTTTTTGCAGATAATTTTATGTCTGTGAAACAATTAAATATTTCTCACATGCACACGTACATTGCAAAATTAAGAAATTAGAGTCTATTATTGAGTTCCAAATATTGCGTTTTTCAACTTTTACTATATTATTAAGTTTGGTCTGCTTTGGTTATGCCAATATATGGAATCACATGATGAACTGAGTATTTTATTTTCTGCTGCTATTGGTATTTATTTTTCAACTTCGATCTTTTCTTTCATTCTTTATTTTTTACTGCCAGACTGACTTGGTAGCTGAAACTTCATTTATTAGCCAATTAAGAGAAATATAGCAGAAGTTATTGTGTTTATTAAGTTTGATCTTTTTATTTGCTAGTGCGTAATCTATTTGTTATACTTATAAATCGTTATACAATGACTTGAAGTATTGTGCCAAGTACAGTAGATAATGCAGCATCACATTTACAAATCTTGTTTCTAATTCCAAAAATGTGCATAGCTTCATTTATTGAAGCTAAAGTAGATGTATGTATAGTAATTTTCAATTTGAACTAAAAGCATTCAAATTATTCATCCAAATCGTATATGATGATATTGAATTCTTTAGTGTAGCAACTACAAACATGTGCTTTGCTATGTTAGTATTTTCAGGAGAAAGGTCAAAGGATCAGAGCCAGATTAAATGTCAGTTTTCATCCAAACGAATGTAGACCTAACTATATTGGCCAAATACATAAGTGCAATGATTCCTGAAAGTATATTTCAGATGTTTTTGAGCCTGAGTGTAAATTTACCAACGTTCTCTTTTAACTTGTTTCAGGGCATCCAGAAATCAAATGTAGATAGCGCGTTTAAGCCATTAGTGAAATACATACATCTATTTCCCACATTTTTGGAACTAGAACTGGGATACGCGCCATCTACGCAAGAAATGGACATTTTGTTTAACTGTGGCGTCCCCACACATTTTTGTTACCCGCAATATTATTCCATCGACCGTACGGATGAAAAACAAAATATAATGGAAACGATAGAATTTTACGAAAAGAAGTTGAAACGAGGCGTAAAGAGCACTTATATCGATATGTGTTGTCGCGAAACGAAAGACTTGGACTTGGCTTTCTTCGGAGAACTTCAGGGTGAAATAGCAGACTTTATCAAAAACAGTGATATGAATAGTGAGGTTACAGAAGATGAGGGTTCGGAAGATATTTCGAAAATGTACAAGGAGCTGGAGGACTTGAAGAGAGAAACTGCAGAAAAAGTACAGCAAGATCTGGCACTTGCTGAGGATATCATGAGGGAGTTAGATATTATAAAATGTGAGGCAGAAGAGGATGGCGCTGGACCGTTGGTTTGTGAATCTGAGGAGATTGAGGAAGAGAGTTCTGAATCGACAGTGAATAGTGCAGAATTAACAGGCAGTCGTCCCGAGGACCAAGAAGTTTCCGAAAAAACGAAATTCACGGATTCGGAGGTAGTTAGTTTACCTGGCGTAGAAGAGGACATACGGAATGTTGATGAAGTGCATAGTATTACTGGTAGTAACAGCACAAATCCGTTTTTATCTGGTATGCATGAAGAATCTGAAGAAGACAGTGGGCCGATGGTGCTGAATCCGAATAACCCGTTCTTGTCGTACATAACAGGTAAGTTTCTCTTGTTTGTTATTTTAAATTCTACAGAGAAATCCCTATATCACCAACGCTAAGGCGGTCCCAGACACTACGAGCTACGCCGAACATTCCGTATTCGCCTACTCGTGGACCGTGTGGGAGAGTTGCTTCGCTTCGCCTTCGCAGTTCGTGGTAGTACGAACTTTTTCTCGCTGATTGGCGGTAAAAGCTGCTCCTTCGTTATATTTAGTCTGATCAGTGCAGTATCAATTTGTAGTAATGGAGTGGAACAAAGATCTAGAGAATTAATTTTTGGAAAATTTTTGATACACTGTTTATCCTAGTCGTACCTTAAAAAGTTGAAAGTAAAACCTACTTTAAAAAATGGCGTCAAGTAGATTGATTCTATACTTCCCCCGCGCTTTGACGAGCGGTGTCACGGACAGAATATAAGAGATACCCCCTTCTCCAACCTGCCCCCACCTCCGATTATCTACCCCTACAAATAATTGTTGTAAAGTGATCAGGAGCCCCGAAAACATCCAAAAACAGAGTTTGAGCGCTTTTCATTTTTTTTTTCGTTTTTTGACGATGACAGCCGCAACTGCACCGATTGTTTAAAACCATAAAACTATATATATGCTATAGTACTAAACTGCGGTCAAAATTTTATCAACTTTCGAGCAGTACTTTCCGAGTTATAGAGGGGCTAAGGATTACCGGACAGACAGACAGACGTCAGACAGACAGACCGCCGGAAATGAGTGAAACATCAATCTTTTTCGACGTTTAAACTTTTTTCATTTAAAAAAGAACAGCACATAATTATGTAAGCTGCAGCAACAGCGACCTGCTGGTCCGCGCCTATGTCCATTTTAAAACTACAATCGAGGCTTTGCAGAATATTTGTTATATCCCGAAATACGAAGTGGTTGGAAGTCAACGCGAACTTGAAGTACGAAGCTTCGTTATTCGCCGAAGAATGTACTGTCTGGAACCGGCTTTAGACGTGCGACGTTGGCAACGCGGCAAGCCTCCGCTGCGTCCGTCGCCTCCTTACTCGGGTTGCTAGGCAACGTAGTACTTCTATCTCTTTCACGTATTGCGCGCTTTAGTCGCGTACACATTACGACGTCAGTGGTATATGGATTTCTCTGTATAACTTTAAATAATTGTAGATTCATTTGGAGCATAAAACATTGAAAACTATTAACTATGTCGGGCTACCAAACTAAGTTAATTCTTTTTCTTTCATCTTGGAATTCCAATTTTTGATGACACATCCATGCATTTAGGCCCGTATCGTCAGTCGTCCCTACAATTGTAGGTCACCTTTATGGCCTCCTTGATTGTCATAGTTTTCTACTTCTCCGTGTCAGCTCTATTTTGAGGTTATGTCACAAACATCTATTTGCATCAAATTGTGCTTGCTTTTGAGTTATATCATGTTTTATCAGCCTGAAATTTCCTACAATTTAAAAAGAAAACATATCTTCACAATAGGAGAGCGCTGACGCTAACACGGCACAAGTGTAATCTAGAAATTTTTGAAGGAGAGAAAGGAGTATGACAATCAACGACAAGGAGGCCATTAACGCGCCCTACAACTGTAGGGACGACTTAGCCCAAAAGAAAAATGTCTAGAGATGTGAAATCACGAGAAATTATCTAATAAATTATTATTGTTATTAGTATTATTAATCAAAATTGAAATTCCAGAATGGACCATGACAAAATACCGAAAAACCATATTTTTCCGAGAGATGCGAAGGTACTTCATGGACTAAAAGATAACCCGATAACGTTAATTAAGTAATGGACAAAAGTATATAGACAAATTAATATTGTGCTGTATTTCTTTTTTTCTTGTTTTATTAATACACCAACCTCTATACATAATTCGTTATAGCATATACATAAATAAATTCATTAGACTCCCTTCAATAAAAAATTTATTGAAAAAAACTGGAACTATGAAGGACAAAAATATGTAGATAAAGCAAAACAATTATAGATAAAAGAAGCAAAGTTCATTGAATTATAGAAAACCAACCATGTTTGTGTTAATATTTTGTAGCATAACTATTATTATCAATCAGCGGCTGGCATCATCTCGGCATATATTGTAGAAGTCTCTTGATATAAGATTCATCAATCTGTCTCCACTTTTGCTCTAAAGCGGCAAAAAGTTCATCCTTGTTTGAATAATTTTTATCTCGTATTTGCTTATCTAAGTATTCCCATAGATTTTGAATGGGATTTATATTGGGAGACTGTCAAGGCCATTTGAGAACTGGTATTTTTTATCCAGAAAGAATTTCTTTGCGAGATTTGAAGTGTGCTTCGGGTCAAACTTATCCATAATGCCATCTATTCTATGTAAAGGTCCCATCCCAAACCCCGAAAAGCACCCCCAAACCATAACAGACCCGCCTCCATGTCTGACAGTGGGCAAAGTGTACTTGAGGTTCAACCTTTGTCCACTAGGATGTCTAACGTAATGAAGACCATCTGATCCAAACATATTGAACTTGGATTCGTCACTGAAACATACCCTCTTCCAGTCACAGATGTTCCAATCAAACACTGACAATTCCTTTTGTCTCGATTTCGGCTTTTATTTGTCTTGCGGTTTTAAACGGATCTTTTACTTTTATTAATTTATCTGATCTAGCATTCAGTTTTCAAGGCCGACCACAGAGGCTTCCATGATACCTTTTTGTTTATTATTGTTCAATATTGCCCAAACAGCTTTACACTTCAGCTTCAAATTTTTGGCAATGTCGACTTGATGTCTATATACTTTTGTCCATTACTGTATATCTTTGTTTATTTTTTCAAAAAACAAAAAAAAACTGAATGAATATGAATATGAAAAAATATAGTGATTTACGTGGTAAATTTAAAATGTCGAAATGCAACGTTATTCGTGACGTCCCTACTTGCTACTTGTGACCAGGCAGTCCTTTGTTGTTTCCACTGTCAGTGATAGACACCCTTTCAGTTTGAGGTTCCAGTTTTTAAATGTAATTTGTAGTATTAAACATTACCTATAAATACTTTGTAATCACATGCTATGTCAAAAACTCGGCAGTAACCTAATCAAAATACAGTAGAATGACAAATCATGAGTTATGACGTCGCTTAAATCGTCGTTGGCATTGCAGTTTTAAATATTTGATTACAAGTAAATATAGACATTTCCATGGATGAAATACGTATATTACGGCATTGTACAGGGTGCGTCATCTATTAATTTTTTCTATTTGAAAAATCAACATGCTTTTTACGAGGTGATATCGATTTTTTTTATTGATAAATGAAGGTTGGCTTATGCCATTTATGTATGAAAAATAACATCAGTCATGTGACCACCGCGGCTTCGTTTACAGGCCAACATCCGAACATCAAAATTTTCAATGACTTTTCCCAGAATAATCGGGTCTATGGTGGCAATTTCAGTCCGAATATTGCGCTTTAGGTCTTGAATTGTCCGGGGACCATTCGCATACACTTTTCTTTTCAAAAATCTCCAATGAAAATAGTCAAGAGATGTTAAATCGCACGATCTCGGGGGCCAACTGGCATCTGAATTTCGTGAAAATATGCGGTCTTGAAATTTCGTGTGCAATAAGCCGATTGTTTGGCGAGATGTGTGAGCCGTTGCGCCATCTTGATGAAACCAAAGATAGTCGGCACCAATACGATCCAATTGTGGCCACAAAAAGTCTGTTAACATTCGTACGCGATAACGTTCCCCGTTGACGGTAATGGCCTTTTCTTCGGCATCTTCAAACAAGAATGGTCCAACGATGCCACCAGCATCCAATTAACAAAAACACGCCGCTGTTGATGATCTGCTGGCTTCAATTCTTGTGTTAGTTGGTTTTTGTATGGATGGAGGTGTAAATCAATGTGTAAAATCAGGCGTAAAGTGGTCTCACTAATTCTCAATTGTTGCGAACGGTGCCTAGTCTAGGTGGTTGGATCTTGTCGCACACTTTTACTCACTGCGGCTATGTTTTCACGAGTACGAGCTGGACGGGCATGTTGGTATGATCTACGACCTTCAGCTGAACCAGTTTCCAAAAAACGACTAACAATCCAACGAATTCCAGGCTCTGTAGGGCGTCCATGTCGGCCAAAAGTAGTGCGAAGTTTGCGAAAAGTATTTCTTATATTTCGACCGTTTTCGTAATAAGTTTTTATAACCAAAATGCGTTGTTGTGTTGTATACGAATCCATGATAAATGGCATACCTTTGACAGTTCATTTATGCATACCACATGACTTTTGACTCACATGGTAACACATAAACTTATAGGTAAAAAAAGTAATAGATGGCGCACCCAGTATTAATGTTAATAATCGACAGGAAACACAAAAAAATGCGTGCATATTCCCTATTATAGCTTGTTCAATTTATTAAGTTTATTCATTTACAAAGGTTCTCGACCATCATCTAATAATAGTAGTGAGTCTACCTCTTATGAAAGTTGCGTTGAGGAAGTTACGGTTGAACAAACATGGATGGATGAAAACAAAGAGGTCACTATTGAACAGCGGTGGTTGAGCAGTGATAACGATGTTGTGCGATTGGTGGAATCTGTTTCAATAACCAATGCTACGGATACTTCACAGGTAAGTGTAGCTACGTTTCAGTATACAGGGTGTTTCAGAACTATGGGATCAAACTTGTAGGGCTTATTCAGTGTAACAGTAGAAAACATTTGGGTATAGGGACCCATAACCGGACAAGTGATACTACAGCACTAGGCCCTATAGCGCGTTAAAATTTAGGAAGACGATGAATTGCCTAAATAGGATTTAATGCATTTAATTGTTGCCTTTTGTACATGATATCATCACAACAATGGTTCAAAATGTCTTCCTCCAACCTGTCCAGTATCTCTAACTCGTCGATTTCGGCCTTTTTGGAACCACTCTCGATAACGTCTCATAACAGTAGCTTCGTTTCGATTCACCCGATTAGCGATTTCTCTAAAAGAAAATCATGTTCATATTGTTCGGATCCTGATATGAGAAGAAAAGCTTATACAAATATGCTTACAAGTTTTTATCATAATTCAATTTAGTAATTTTGGGTTTTGAATTTTATACCTACTCGCATGTCACTTAGTATATTTTTGCTTATTCTCCGTAATGTTTATTCGATTCTGTTTGTATAGGCGTCGACGGCAACACCGGAAAAAAGTTGTGGTTGTGCCATCCAGACAAGCGAGAACGCAACTGGGCCTCTCATTCCGCATCAGGGTCCTCCCATCCCTCCCAGTTTACCTTATGGGGGTTACCAGCCACCCCAACATTATTATCAACCTTGGTCGACTGCTTCAGATTGTGCTCCATTTGGGTAAGTCAAAAACTCAAAAATAAATAAACAAATAGCCTTTATTGCCTTACAGTTATAAGATAAATCTAAATTAAAGATAAACCGAATAGAAAATAAAAAAGCGACATAGCCAAGCAAAGAGAAAAAAGCCGTATTCCGGCGAAAAATGGTTGTATTTAGACTTTAAAAATGGCATTAGAGAGCTACAAGATTCTAGTTTTCAGGTTTTTCAGTCGAAAAATTTTAGGAGCAACGGTTCTCATGCAATTCTAACAATATCGCAAGGATTTTTTTCCAAAATTTTTGCATTTTTTTTTTTAGTCCATGGACTTGAATATTTTTTTGTTATGCCATCATATGGATCAGATAGCCCGTTTATTCAGCTTCAATATCCAGAAGGATACTTTTGTCATCGAGCACTGATATCTCGGTAACCAGTGATCGCACAGGGAACAGAGAACTGGGATAAACCTCCTATAAGACTTGATTGCCTTCTTTGAGGAAACTTTTTTTTGTTTCCTTAGTATTGATTTTAAAAGAGTAAAACAGTCACTTTTAGGTTTTTTTATACCTAAATGTGCCTTTAATAACCCTGCACGACGGCAGATCGATCCATTGTATGGCTTCTCATTACCGATGGTCAACATTTGAAAATGATGCAAATTCAGTGTCCGATCTTACTCATTTTGGTCGTCCTCAAAGGTTTTGAAAACACAAAAAAACGTAAAAAAATTATCACTTGAACATAACCTGTCTTCAGATAAAATATATTGGCATCATATTCAGTAATGATTTTCTCACACAGCAAATATCACTGATTTTTTACACATGCAGACCAATACACATAATCATCCAGAACTTTCTTCTTAGAGATGAAAGCTACAGACTACTTGGCTTCACAAAACATATGCAACCAACAATGCGTGAAGTAGAGCCGATCCTCCACAGATGGACGTTCACAACGATCCTAGTGAGCAAACGTGGAATGATGTTTTTGCACCCTAGCAAACAACCTATTCTGCAAGATGACATTTTATATGTTTTTTGACGTTTTTTACATAATACTCGTGCCGGTTGTTTTGATACAAAAAATTTGCTCTTTTGATTTCTTTCAAATGTTGACCAATCGGTCCTGAGAAACCGTACCCTGGATCGATCTGCCATCGTGTACATTGAGGTATAAAAAAACTAAAAACGTTACCATTTTCATTAGCAATTGTAAAAATGTAGTCGATTTGCCAAAACAAAAAAACCTTTTTTGACTCTTTTTGGCCCAAAGTCTAGATACGATCATTTTCTACAAAAATCACTGAAATATTTCGATTTTTTCTTGCTCCTTTAATTTTTCTGAGTAGTGTAGTTTTGATATTTCTAGTCGAATCTCACCCAGTCTGACGTGGGGGCGTTTAGGTGAATATCACGTATTGTTTCCCGCGTGTGTACGATTTCAAAAAAATGGTTTAAAGCAAAACATGCTTCTTGATTGAAATATTGCAAAATGTGACTCATTAATATTTATCTTGCTCATATACTGTCAACTAATTTTAAATAAAAATAATGAGACTAATTATGTTTTTTGAAATAAATCCAACACATTTACAGTAAAAATAGATATTTTGAAAAATTTCAAGTGTAGTTAGGGACGGAGGGAGGGGTTGAACCAAACCTTACGACAACTCACCAGGGCAGGAGAGGCGGTTTGAGAAAATCGTCAAATTTGCCTCTCGTAATTCACGCCCTCTTATTTTTTTAACAGTATATTTGCGGAGTGGCCCCAAAATAATAAAATTCCTTAATGTTGTAATAAATATTCTTGCATATTAAGATTTTTTCATTTCGATTTGGTCTTTCGTTTAGAAGTTGAGATTCACTAACCACCAATCTAAAAGCCAGTAGTGTATATATTACTGTTTCTATAGGTACGGTCCCCGCTGTCCAGCACCAAGCTACGGTTATCCTGACTATAATCCTATGCAACCTTGGATGATGCAAATGCTATGGAGCAGGATGCAGTTCAGATCACAAGTAAGCTGTACCTCAGTGAAAAGTTTATGCAAAAAATACTCCCATCAGTGACGAGACGCCTATGTGGTGGACGACATTTGTTCGTTTCATCGAAGCGATCTGTCATTTTGAGATGCTTAGGAAGTTATTTTTCCTCTGCTGATGTAGATGCGGCACACAGCATACGAGAAGCTGCTGGTCGCGGCGGAGATGTCGCAGAATATACATTGAACGCAGTGTTACCAAGTCTTCCGTTTTTTCTCTTCGCGTCGGGTGACAATACAACCTCAAGCTAAAATCTAGAATTTTTTCCGTGTATAATACACAATTTTTTTCTGTGACGGGAAAAACGACGAATTAATATTGAAAAATTATATTATTACAATAAAGAAAATTACCGATGTGAAATGTGAATTTTGAAATTAGTCTGCTATGTTGTACTTATAGCGACAATTAGACCTGCGCTGCTAAGGCAACTTTTAAAGTAATTAAATAGCTGTCAATTTAATTTTGAGATTTGATTTAAAAAATATGAACTTGGTCGTTTAGAAGTTATTTTTGATATTATAAAGTAAAAAATGTATGATTCCGAGTTTTCTTTGACTCCACCGGAATTAGTAGAAGTAGCCAAAGTAGTGACACAAAAATTATTGCCATATATATATATATAAATCTTTATAACTTTTTTCCGTCACTGCCGAAAAAATCTAAAAAAACTTGTTATGGACATAAAAATCGCGTCGGGTGACAATACAACCTCAAGCTAACATCTAGAATTTTTTCCGTGTATAATAAACAATTTTTTTCTGTGACGGGAAAAACGACGATTTAATATTGAAAAATTATATTATTACAATAAAGAAAATTACCGATGTGAAATTTGAATTTTGAAATTAGTCTGCTATGTTGTACTTATAGCGACAATTAGACCTGCGCTGCTAAGGCAACTTTTAAAGTAATTAAATAGCTGTCAATTTAATTTTGAGATTTGATTTAAAATATATGAACTTGGTCGTTTAGAAGTTATTTTTGATATTATAAAGTAAAAAATGTATGATTCCGAGTTTTCTTTGACTCCACCGGAATTAGTAGAAGTAGCCAAAGTAGTGACACAAAAATTATTGCCATATATATATATATATATATATATATATATATATATATATATAAATCTTTATAACTTTTTTCCGTCACTGCCGAAAAAATCTATAAAACTTGTTATGGACATAAAAATAATTTAAGGAATTTGAAAAAATTGTTAAAAAAAATTTTAGACGCAATTTTGGGCCGGCCAACATGCAAAAAACCGAATCAGAATACTTTTTCTATTATTTTCTATTTTTATTTGCAGTACAACCCGGGCATGGGCCCAGCGTATCACCAACAAGCTCCATATCATCCGCAAGGATCATACCAGCAACAGTACCCGCCTAAAGCCTCCCTCCGACCTCCTCCAGGGTTTTATCCGCCCCTACCTCTCCCAAGTAGACCACCTTCCGTGGATACCTCAACGCCGACAACTACACCGTGTCCACCACCTTCAGCGCCCTCAAAAGCGATCGACTTTTACGAAGCTTACAATCAAAGGTTAATGCAACAGTTGCACGATAATTAAAATGGGCCTGAGGAGCTGTGACAGGACATTCTATTCAGATCCATTTTATTCCTCGTCAGAGCAAACACTAACGCGTTATCGATAAGAGAGTAGAATAGGGTTTTCTTTTGGCGAAACTGGTGTTGCACTGTTATGTTTATGTTCTTTTGGTGCGTGCTTTGAATTAGTTAACACATTGACTGCGAACTGGGATGAGGATACCCACCTCAGAAACTGAAATACTTTTTTCCTTTTTTTGGAAGCCGGCAGAGAGCGTCGAAAGACGCCGTTCGCCTCCCACCACAGGAGCGGAGGGCGTCTTTTGACGCTGTTCGCACTGAACGTGTTAATGCAAAATATCGCACGAACTGGACGAGCTCGTTCTAGTGTAGTCAACTGGCAACAGTGTCTCATTTCACAGCTTTGCGAGCAACCATGCTTTGCAGCCACCTTTCTCGTGTTTTTTTCTCATTGAGCGTGCACACCACGAAAAACTATGGCCAATGCTGCTCGTGCTGTAAAATGACCTCAAATTTGACGCCTGGAATACCAGTGGTGCTTTGACAGCGCTGCCATGTTGTAGGTTTTTTCCTCAGTCGTGGGGAATTTTTTGAGGATATAATGTTCTGGGGGAGATCACTCGTTTCGCGCATAGAAAGCATCCCCCCACTCTTTGAAGCAAAACTACCCCTTTCCATAATTAACTGTGATTAGTGGATTTTTTTGGGGGGAAAATGTGTCTAACACATTTGGCGACGCTGTGCTTTGACAGATCCGCCATATGAACACTTTTCTCCTTTTGTATATTCTGCATAGTTTTTTCATCTCTTGTATCGTCGATATCGATAAATATCGATATTTTTAGTTGTCGATATATCGATATTTATCGGTTTTCCGATATATCGTTGCATCCCTAGTCCGGCCACTTGAACCTACCTGCATGTATCTGTTTTTTACACCTAATTTTGATGAATGATAAATAATACTAGAGCATATTACAGGAGCATTGCCTCTGCCAGGTAATCTATTCTACTATTATTTATCATTAAAGTTTTATCAAAAAACAGAAAGACTCTTAGGAAAGTGTCTGTCAAAGCATAGCATTGCCAAAAGGGTTGGACAGAATTTTTGAATCTGTCAGAATTGCTAATTTTCAAAAAAAAAAATACCCAAATCAAAGATAATTGATGGAAAGGGGTATGTTTGGTTCAAAGAGCGCAGGAGTGCTTTCCATCTGCGAAACGTGTGATTTAAACCAGAACATTATATCCCCAAAAGATTGTGGAAATCCTCCAAATTTGGGGAAGATCCCCCAACATGGCAACCCTGTCAAAGCACCACTGGTGCTCCAGGCGTCATGTTTCGCGGTCGTTTTTATAGCACGGACAGTATTGCCGTAGTTTCTCCTGGTATATCGGCTTCACGGACAAGAAATTAAAGAACACTTTTCATTGGGAGATGACGGCACGAGACAGGAAATGATAACGTTCTATGTCCTCTTCGGGACAAATTTAGGATAAACTGGGCAGAGAGTTTCAAACGAGGAAAGAGCACCAGCTTTATCAGAAGAAAAGGTTAGAAGTATTTGCAAGTTCAAGGATCTAGTGTTCACGTGGGGATAAATCAGATTTGAATTGAGTTTATGTACGTTGTATGGTTGAAGCTTAGGTCAAAAGTGATGGGGCAATCAGACAGATAGTTTATTCAAACAATAAAATTAAAGTTAATTTATTTGACGTTTGGTTGCCGCATGATAAAATTTTTCTTGAAATGAAGAAAGCCGTGTTCCTTACTGACATGCTAATATTTAAGGAGGTGGTTCTTGGAACAAAATCATATGAATATATGTCCTAAATGTCTTAACCTTCGATATACAGACTTTATTCCGAAAACTTTACCGCCCTATTTCTCAAAGGTCAAGACGTTTAGGACATACGGTCATGTGAATTTTTTTCTTAAAAGGGGCCCACGACTCATTTTCTTAAATATTAGCATGCGATTAAGGAACTACCTGTATTTAAAAAAATATTTCGATCGTGTTTTAATATGGACGAGTAGGTTAACGAAGGTTAATTCTGAAAAAGATTGTCACTTTATATATTTGCCCTAATGCTTTTGATCAAGGCTGCATCTAAAGTACTAATCGCAGTTTGACGATATGTGCATTATTTTGTACAATGACTTATAGAGATCTCCCTGTTGTGATGGAATGAATTATGTGTCTTAATGCAATCTTCTGTAGCTCTGTTTTGCATAGAAGCAAAATTTGTATTTTTATACATTATAAATGTGAGTTTCCATGCTTGTTTATAGTATAAAAATTGTTTTCTTTATGGTTCGTTAAAAAAAGTTAATTTGCGCCTATTTTGTATATTATTACTGAAAACTGCTAGTTATTTATTTTAGATCTGTATGTTCCGCATCGGTACATTATTTTAAGCGTTGATTTCTTTTGTATGTGTAAATACAGTTTTTTTTGTATGATGTAAGTTAGAGCAATATATTGTTTTGTAAAATGGTTCTTTTATTTTTGGAAAACGACATCCTCTTGCGCACCAAGTCAATGATTTTCATAATATAAAAGACGCGGAAAAGTCGGGGAAGCAAAAGGTGGACAAGGATTGCTTGGAATTGCCGGGATTAAACAGTCTGAAAGAAAATCGAGTTTTTTCGCATAGATGATTTCAGGAGGTTAAAAAAATTCTCTGCCCGCCAAACTTGGGTCGAATACGAATCCTGAACACTTTATTATATCATATACTCATGATTGTATACAAAGACAAAAAGTGTTCGAATATCGCTGTTTTGAATACTTAAGTTATAATAATATTAAAAAAATTAAAAATACTTGACTAGATTGAATAAAATGTAAAACAACATTTGATACATAGTGTCACAGCGAGGTTGGACAAATTAATTGTATAATAAAAAAATCTTTGATTTTTATTGTTTTTTTCATGGAAACTTAAAGAAAGAAACTGAGTAAGAAAATATATGAATCTTACACAAGGTACCTACAAAATTAAAAGACACACTTGCGTTTTTATACAGGGTGTAAAGTGGGAAAGTGCACATTCCAAATTTGAATTACGCGGCAACCGTGTACGCGATTAAGTCTTGATCGGCGTGCGGGTTAAATAATCGCAATGGAACGTTGGCCCGGAGCGTAATGTGTTTTAGCTATCGAGGCTTACTTTAAGAGTGGTGATTCATATGCAGCGGACCTTCGAAAATTTTGTACACGATACATTCGCTGATCAAGAGACGCCCCAAGTAAGAAGCTTTTGAAGAAGTGGATTAAGAGGTTCAGTGAAACAAGCTCTACCCTTAGTCAACCCACACCTACTGTATCAAGCGAAGAAAATGTGCGTCGAATAAGTGATTCGGTCATTGCAAATCCTTGGCGTTCTCTCGGCTGCTTTGGGAATCACTAGGTCAACACTCCATGGCATAATGAAGAAAAAAATGGGTCTTCATCCTTATAAAATCTAATCAGTCCATGCTTTAAAGGAAAGTGATTACGTATTACGGAAATCTTGTGCTGAACGAATACTAACGCCAACTATGACACAATAGCAGAATATATTTAGAAATCTACTCTGAAAAGAGTTCGAGTGTTTGGTTCCGTTACTGTCTCATAGATAACCCCTTTTTTGGTAACTCTCTAATGCCTACTTTATCGGGTATCTTCAGGCATTGATTAACGTAGGTATTCCTCTTGAAACAGGCATTCCTTCCTTTGGTGAAGCCGTCCGAATACAGTCCTCCATGAAACTGCAGCCTATTGGGCTTATTGCACCTTGCTCCTCAAATTTACAGTACCCAGTCCAGCAGTCTAGTATTCTGTACCAGTTGGTAAAGTTTTCCTATCGATACTGTTATCACATCAAAGTTACATTTTGCTGTGTTCCGCCAGTGCGTTCAGTTCTTGTTGGCATTCTCAAATCAGTGCAGCTGTTGCTCGAGGACCTAACACTGAGTGACGCCTGACCGACAAAATATATGGTGATTCGCCTATTATTGTACAAGAAATCATAAATAAAATAGGCATTCGAGTGACGCCGAAAAGGGATTGAAGATTCTAGCGCCATCTAATGGGACAGCAGCAAAATATAACATTCTAACGCTTGTTAAAATAGATTTTTGAACTCTGCCAGTGTCTCATAGATTGAGATAGGATCTTTCAGGTTCCTTCGGGTAGAATACGTTAAGCAAAAATCGACCACCTTAATAGACATTTCATGTAACTGCGAAATTGTTATTCCGAATTCTTCTGTCAGGTCTCTAGCACTCTTCTACAGCTATGCCGACACGTTTTGCTCCTCAGACCTCTCCTCCATGATACCGCCGCGCGATGTGCCTGCCAGACAGAGCCTCCTGAACTCTGTACATCCAGAACTGGTCCATACGACCGCTCCTTTATCCCTAAGGAAACGAGATTGTGTAACAATCTACCCGAGGAGGCTATTCCCAGTTCTTCTAATCTTGGGCAGTTCAAGAAAAAAAACGGATATCACAAAGCTGGTATTTAGGTTTATTCAGCTGCTTCGGTATAAAAAAGATGCTTGTTATTGATATATACATTTTTTTGAGGACCAATCCTCCCAATAACAGTCATGCCGCAATTGCAAATTGACCTTCAGAACGTTTCCATTGATGAACATAATTTGTAGTCATTCTGCAAATGAGTACTTCTAATCAAAGCATCATTATAAAACTTGAACGGACGAATTTGTGTGTTTCTGTTGAATCATTCCCGTAAAATCTCGAGCGCTGTGCGTGAACAATCTTTTGGCATATCTATTTTGTAATGATTAGATATAGTAATATTGACTTCGAGTACTAACGAAACCTTAGTACCAGTGCTTATATTCTGGGGAGCTATACTGGACTACCTGAGCAATGAAGAAATTGAGATTTTTCTTGGTGCTGTTTCTGAGTACCGCTGTTTTGGTAAGAGCTTTGTAAGATTGAACCAGCCCTTGCAAAAACAAATCACGCAATTTGATTTTTTCAATAAAAATTGTGCCATTGACAAATAAACCAGTACTTTTTGGTCTTAATATAGTATGTGGCTTCCGAAAAATTGAATTTTCGAATAACCTTCACAGCTTATTAATAATAATAACAATAATATATTTGTAAAAAGCCAGAAAAACGGGCTTAGACTTGACGTTGTTTTAGTAGTGTTAGTGGTATACAACGTAAACAAAAGAATCATATTAGTCTTATCTTTTATTGTTTATTATTGAAAATTACATTTAAATATTGATTTTTGATATGCTCCATGATTTAATTTTGCATGTTTTTACATCCTTAAAAAACACAGGGGAAAACCTGGCAAAGTGAACACTTGGTGGGTTGATTTCGCGAGGTAATTATTATATAGTACATACAGTATATACATATAATCAGGTATCAAACACTGTTGACAAAAAAAAATGTATACCAAAAACCCAAAGAGTGCACCAATGCTTCTGACAAAACCTACGTCTTTTTGATGCCATTGCAGTCCATGGACAATTGTGCTAAAAGTTGTTTTGAAGGCATGGAAGGTATAGAGTCAATCTACTTGATGCCATGTTGTTTTTGAGAAAATATTACAAAAACGTTTTTGATAAACATTTTTGTTACCATTAAGATGCTTATTTTTCCGGTTTTATTATTTCCTTGTGTTTGTCATGTAGACGATTTTTGAAGAAATTGGGATTACCATCTCAAACTAAATGGAATACTGTTTAGATTTTACACTTCTAAGTTATATAGTTTATGAGTATATCCTAATGTCTCGTTAATGAGACCACGTGAACATTGTCAAAGCTGAAAGTGAACACACTATTACAAAATGTACGCTTTCATTGCAATGTCCCAGTTCTACTGGATCATGGATTCTTGTGGCTTGATAGCGAGACCGGACAGCTTGACGCTGATTGGTCGACGGACAGATTCAGCGCAAGAGAGTGAATGGGCATCCCAATCAGATTCTATGTATTCATGAAAAGTGCCCAGGTGGTTAGCCCAAATTCTCAAGGCCAGCATACGTCTGTGAGGAGTCTGGCAACCTAGCGTTCGATCTGGCATCAGTGGAGGCGCCGGGCTCGGAGGGGAGATAGGGGAACATGTGATCTGCCTTGAATACAAGTTTGAACCCGCTCGAGTCATTTGGCTGTCCGGTAGCAATTTTTAATGTGTTCTAAAAATGATCGACATAAATTTCGAGCTACGTTCTGCAACAGAAACTCTTGCCTACGGAGAAAGTGTTTTGCCAAGAGCTCAGGTTTTTCGGTGGTTTAAGGCATTTTCAGATGGGAGAGAATCGATTGGAGATGAATCACGAACCGTAAGGCCATCATCTTCAAGAACCGATGAAAATATCGACAGATCGTTGGTTTACAGTCAGAGTCAGAACAACTGGGTGTTGCATCCCTATAATGCTCCTTGCCTTGCCTTATTGAAATGGAAACGTAGCTTGAGGGTTAAAAAATACAAGTATACCGTATACCTCACTGATATTATTATTTTCAAGTGTTTTTCTATGAACGGAAGATCTCGACCGAAATATCTAATTTGCGATATATAATTTCAATTTGATCATTAACAGAAAAGTATATACCACAGATATGGAATTTGGGAATATACAAAGTGAGATAGAAAAAAGAAGACCTACTAATAATAAATTCATTAAAGACATTTTAGCTACTGTATATGTTTGTTTAGTTAGGGTCATCTTTTCAACCATATAGATAAAATGGTTATTGTGATTTTTAAGTTAGGGATAGTTATGCTTTAGGCATTCGATCATTGTACACTACATTGTACAATGGCCATTAGGGTGCAAAGAAGCTCAAGTACGGTGGTGGTTTGTTGTCCGACGCAACGGCGGATCCAGTGCCTCTGACATAAAAATTAAAAACTTGACTGGAGGACGGATGGCAGATGACAACCCTACCCTTGTACCCTTAGAGTACAGCCTAAAAGTAATTAAAATATTAAATCTAATTTAAAAATTGACAATTTATTGTTGAATAACAAAATTTTTACTCCATGTTGGTCTTCCTGCGAATCGATTAACATTAATACTTACCATCTCCTTCGAATCCCGTGCAACAACTTTTTTGTGGGTTTGTACGTCACAGTGGCGGATTTAAATAATGGAAAAGCTCTAGTGTCTATATTGTTCGGCGCGTCTGAATGTAAAATTGATAACGAGAAATCAGAGTATTATTGTTTTCTTTTAATGACCATCTGTGTAATGTTTATGAAACAGCGCGTTAGCATTCAGTTTGAATAAGAAAATTTCCGTTTCATTTCTTAAGAAATTTTTTGAGTAGTGGCTATTTCATTTCTAAAAAAATGACTGAATGACCCTTTTATTTCTCAAGGAGTGGGGGGTTATTTTTTCATTTTGTGCTTACAGTGATATATTATTACCTGGCATATAATGTTCAGTAAATAAATATCTTCGTGGCATGAATCAGCCTCTTTTAGTCTAATACAGACTCTAATGCGTCTATTACAGTCTTTTCACGTCTTCAATGCTTATAACCATAAACTTTCATAATACTGTGCGTTTTTTATTTAATGACATATCTATTTTCTTCGTGATAATATCGTGGAAGACATTTTTTGAATGTATTATCAATTGTATAGAAGATGAAATTTGTGGGAGCTTCTGGCGAAGATATAATGAATGCAAGATCTCTCCTTTCCTCCATGAACTTGACCTTTTTTTCAATTTGTTATGGTGGCATTCAGTATTGAGCGTAATGAATACCGTGCAACCTCAAATGCAAAAGAAAGAAATAGACTTGATGATGGCTCAAAGGTGCGTTTCAGCAGCATACAAAAAATTAAAAGATTTGAGGAGCTAAGAATAAATGGGAAGAGATGGAATGGGAAAATCCTGGTTATCCCACTGCCAGAAAGAGGAAAATCAAAAAAATATTTGACGAAAAAGCTGCTGACTCGCCACTGGAAATACACGAAAAACATCGAATAAATTACTGCGAAGTTTTGGATTCAATGAGTAACGAATTGAAAGAACGTACTGAAGGATTTCGTAATTCGTAATTTTACTAACGACAGGCCGCCAGATTATTTAAAGTTCATGATTGCAAACAATTTTGTAGACAGTTTTCCAGAGAGCTGCAGTTTATTCAGATTGTTTTTGACTTTGCCTATCGGTTCTGCTAATGCTAAACGTGTCATGAGCTCTTTTAAAAATTATTAAAGAATACCGTCGAGCTTGTTTGGCTAAAGACACACTCAACAACTTCTCTAAACTCTATATCGAAAGTTCAGTAGCTAATACACTCAATTTGGATTCTGCGATGGATTTAGATGGATTTTACGTTATCGAAAAATTTTATATCCGCGTGAATATTGAAATAGTTGAATTAGCTGTTTTATAGGCACGTTGAGGCAGCATCAGATTAACTTTTTGCATCAAGTTACTATTAAAAAACTTTTTGCACTATCTATGAGCTTGTTTCGGTCACTTGTCCAGGACTTTCTAATTTTTTTATCCTCATTTCAAAAAGTGCGCACTTCAACCCATCATAAAACTTGTGCAAAAACAAAATTTCGAAAAGCGCTCCTATAGCACCCTGGACCCTTCTCAACATACTGTATGAATTTCATTTAAAAATATTGAATAATGGAGTGTCAGTTTTGAAGCAGCTGAACCCTTGTAAATGGCTTGAAACTCACTGCGTCTGAGCCGCCTTAAGTGGCCGTTGCTGCTTTCAGCGATGACTTTTCAGGTGGCACGTCATTTTACCGCTTGCGTACATATTCGTCTTTGCCACTGATAATAGAAGCGCAGGCGTACATATTCGTCAAAGTCACGTGAATTGGGTTACTTTAAATGAAATGCGTACATGTACGGAAAGCCACCATGGTTAGTACCTGTTTTTAAACAAGTAATATACATAAAATTACTTGAAACTTATTTATTTAAAAACAAAATACAGCCGATAAATAGTAGAAAAAATTATTCTTTCGTATGTTACCTGTATATCCCAAAACAAGGTGCAGGACAGAGACCAGTACGACACTCTAGGCACCAATAACGACTCTCTTTTCGCTGCTTTCTTTCAGCACATACAACGCATCCGAAGTAAAGAAAAACGCAATAAGATAAACGTATAGTGATAAGTTTTTGACTTTTTGTCGGTTTTGCTTCTGTTGTTGGTGGTATTATTGATCGAAAATGTCAATCAATCTTGTGGGCATTGGCGTTCTAGACGTTCTATTTTTCTGTATTTATCCACTATCTTCTCACCCAGCTCCAGTAAAAAGTTCAGTCTTTTTAGCTTTCCGCCATTCTACTAACAAATTTGAAAGGCATTCAACGTAGTGGCACTTAAAAAATGGAGAAACATCTTTATGTAGTATTTTTTTACTCTAGTACGAGCAATTCCATAAAAGTGGAGGTAATTGTCAGATAAATCAACACCACCCATGCTGGCATTGTAATCGATTACGCAAGATGGCTTTTCAGTGTCCCCACTCCTTGCTGCAATTTTTTTCAATGCTGTCATCGTGGACCCTGCTTATCATAAGGACGTCTTTCTTGTCGCGCTATTTCTGAATCATGAGTTTTTTCTAAAACGCCCTACAATTTCTCCTTTCTGCAATTTTACTTTTAATTCCCGTGGTATTCCTTTTCTATTTATTCTCATTGTCCCAACGCTATCCGTCCTTCTTTTTACTATTAGTTTGTCGCACAGGTCTACAGTATGCTTGTATAAGAATTATCTAAAAACAGGCGGTATCCCTTATCTAAAAGAGGATGAATCAATGTCAACACTACCCTCGAAGTAAGTGGTTCATTTATTTACAAAGCATTGTATTTAGTATCTGTAAAGTTCTACATGTAATCACTGCGACTTTCACATAAGGCAAAAACTTTCATGCCAAATCGTTTCCTTTTCGAGGTACAGGTATGTACTGTTTCCAAGCAAGTCTGCCTTTCCATCCTGTCAAGGACTCATCTATGGCAATGTTTTGTTCTGGTATATAAGCTGACATATACTTTTTTTTTCATCAAATCCAAAACTGGTAAAACTTTTATCAGTTTTGAGGTTTTTGTATGTGAATTTATAGTAGAATTATCTACAAAGTGTAAAAACTTTAGCAACAAATGAAATCATAACTTTAGAGAAAAAAGTCACAACAATGCGTGCAATGTTCTTACTACAGCGAATTTTTAAGTGTCACCAAGTCATTAGAAAAATGGAACTCAACCGAGAACATTTTCGCGCCATAATTTATTACAACTTTCAGAGACAATTATCGCAACAAGAATGCCTTGCTGAGTTACTGTCTGTTTTCGGCAACGAAGCGCCATATCAGTAGACAATTTCCCGTTGGTATGGAGAATTCAAACGTGGACGGGTGAGTCTTAGGCCCGTATCGTCAGTCGTCCCTACAATTGTAGGGCGCGCGCCTTTATGGCCTCCTTGATTGTCATAGTTTTCTACTTCTCCGTGTCAGCGCTCTATTTTGAGGTTATGTCACAAACATCTATTTGCATCAAATTGTGCTTGCTTTTGAGTTATATCATGTTTTATCAGCCTGAAATTTCCTACAATTTAAAAAGAAAACATATCTTCACAATTGGAGAGCGCTGACGCTGACACGGGACAAGTGTAATCTAGAAGGATGCCATAAAGGTGCCCTACAATTGTAGGGACGACTGACGATACGGGCCTTAGCGACGATCCCAGGGTGGGTGCACCAAAAACGGCAGTCACCCAGGAAAACGTCGATGCTATGCGCAAACTCATCATTGAAGATAGACATGTGACATATCGCGACATTGAGGCGTCCCTGAAGATCTCAAAGACCTCAATTCAAAAAATTTTACACGAAGAATTAGGAGTAAGAAAATTAGTTTCTCGTTGGATACCCCACCTGTTGACTGAAGAGCAGAAAGCAGCCAGGGTTAATTGGTGTGAAAAAACGCTTGACCGGTTCAATTCCGGAAACTCAAAAAATGTGTACAGCATTGTTAGTGGCGATGAATCGTGGATTTACTGTTATGAACCAGAAAATAAACGACAGTCGGCTGTTTGGGTGTTCCAAGGTGAATAAAAGCCAACAAAAGTCATCCGTTCTCGAAAGTGTTTCGAAAAAGATGGTCGCGACATTTGTGTCAAATGCAACAATATTGCAACAATTCCTCTTAATGAGCAAAGAACTGTTACTGCGGATTGGTATACCACCATTTGTTTTCCAAAAGTCATCACTGAGCTTCGAAAAATCAACCCCGAAAGAAGAATCATCCTCCACCAAGACAATGCAAGCTCGCACACAGTCCAAAAAACAAGCCAGTATTTAACGGAAGAAAACGTGGAATTATTGGACCATCCTCCATATAGTCCCGATCTAAGTCCTAACGATTTCTTTACTTTCCCGAAAATTAAAAACAGACTGCGTGGTTAAAGATTCCAGTCACCAGAAGAAGCAGTTGACGCATTCAAAAATGCCGTTTTGGATCTGCCAGCAAACGAGTGGAATAAGTGCTTCGAAAATTGGTTCGAGCACATGCAGATGTGTATTAATCTTCTTAGAGAATACTTCGAAAAACAATAAAGTCACTTAAAACTACCTACCGTGTTGTTTTATTTCCATATGCAAAACTTAAAAGACATCCCTCGTATACTGCGATGCATATCTGTTTGTTTCTCTGATTATTATCATTTAGATCATCATCTAAAAAATATTCAAAAATATCCTTTAAATTGTTTACTTGCACACTACTGTTTGACGTAAAATGGAACGCTGGCCTTAGAATCCCGTTCTGTCCAGGGAATTTCAAAACTTGGATCATGATCAGGTTCATGTTCACTTTCGGTATCACTCTCTTCAAAATCCTCGTCGAAATTAGAATCGTCATCTGATTCGTCAGAACTAGTGCACTGACTCTCATCATCACTTTAATCATCTGTAGTCATTTCAACATCAGAACTAACCATTATCAAAAGTACTTTTAACGTTTGAACACAAACAAGCAGGAAACAGCCGGTATTTAAAACCACGCAATAATGACTGCTAGCTTACACCGAAATCAAATGGCGGCAGACAGCAACTTTTGGTGTTGCACAAAGTAATAACTGTTCCTTATTCCTTATATGTACGGTGGAATCATCACAGGCGAACGTATTCGTGATAGCCATGGATGGCCTCAATAAAATATTCTTGGCGAATATATCCGTCATAATCAACCTGGATAAAAAATATGTTGGCGAATATATACTTCATTACCACTTCAGGGGTTAAGATAGATCCTGACCTGAAATTTTTAGGCAGAAGATGTAACAGTGCAACTGCCAGTTGGTACTGTAAAGGGATTAGTAAAGTCTACCGCTAAAGGGGTAATATTCTACTCTTTCCAAGGAATACCGTATGCCGAGAAACCAGTCGGCGATTTGAGATTCCAGGTAAGCTCAGTATGAACCGTCTTTATTTTCGATCGGTCAATCTTATGCAGCGCTGTTCAAAAAGGTCACCACTTCCTAATTATTTTTGGACGGGCCAGGTCAGCAAGCTGAAATGCAGGGTTATATTATATTTTAGCATAAATGTTCTAAAATGACTGAGTGCGCCATTACAGAACATTTTCTCTAAGTGGAATGAGAGGTCGTGTTGTACCTAACTTTAAAGCTCCTTATAAGTACTTTGTAGACCTAGGATATAAAATAACTATCTTTTAAAATGGCAGACTGGCTTGCTGCCAAAGCTTGTCGTTTTTGTTGCGTTGCTCAGCAATTTTTCACACACTCAAGAACAGCATAATCCTACAGTGCATTTCAAAAATGTCCCCCACTTCTTTTTCGAACAAATCAAGCTAGAAAGCTGAAATTGCGGTCGATGAAATTCAAGCATGAATACTATGTTTTAGCGTCAAAGTGGAAGTTCCAGAATATAAAAACACTATCTTCCAAATTTGGCACTTTTCAAAGTTGAGCGTTTTTATATACTAAGAGACATATAAATCCGAACACCCAGTTTAAATGGTTTTATTTTAATTTAATTTTATAAAAAGTGTTGAATGTATTTATCTTACTGTAAATAAAAAGTGAAAAAATGTTCAGCCTTATCAGTTGGACATTCCGGTTTTTATACTGCTTTTTTTTAATTCACTAACGCTCTAAAAATGAATATTTCAGCCGCAGTAAAGAATCAACGTTGGCGGATTTTGGTTCTTGACATCCTTTACGATCGGTTACGATGCCTAGAGTACGGAGACCTGTACGATTTCGTAAACTTAGTGAGTTTGATAGGGGCCGTATAGTGGGACTTCGGGAAGCTGGACTTTCTTTTCGGGCAATTGCAGTTAGAGTGCAAAGACGTGTAGACACTGTGGTTAGGTGTTGTCAGGCATGGCTTCGAGAAGGCCGTACGCAAAGAGCAAGGGGCACTGGACGCCGCCGTAGAACAACAGACCGTGAAGATCGCCGCCTAAGATTATTGGCCTTAAGGGTCCGTTTCTCCACTACCAGGTCCATTGCAAATGAATGGTTTGCAGAACACGGAAGACCTATTGGCATGCGAAGTGTTTACCGACGAATGAGAAGTTTTGGCTTGTTTTCATACCGGCCACACTGGGTCCTCCCTTTAACTCGAGAACACCGACGTAATCGCCTTGAGTGGTGCAGACAACGGTCACTCTGGGATCAGGAATGGAACAGTATTGTCTTTAGTGACGAGTCTCGATTTTGTTTAGGCATGCACGATGGTCGTGCCAGGGTTAGAAGGCGACGTGGTGAAAGGAGGAATCCACAGTTTTTTGTTGAAAGACATGTTCATCACACTGTTGGAGTTATGGTTTGGGGTGCTATAGCTTATGGTTCCAGGTGACCTTTAATCTTCATCAGAGGTAACATGAACGCGCAGCGTTATATCCACGAAGGTCTAGAACCCCATCTTTTACCTTATCTTGACACCCTGGCAGATCCAACTTTCCAACAAGATAATGCCCGACCACATGTTGCAAGAGTCACAATAGACTTCTTTCAACATAATGATGTCACATTGTTACCATGGCCACCAAGATCTCCCGACTTATCCCCAATTGAGCACGTGTGGGATATGATGGGTAGTAGATTGCTCAATTTGCAACGTCCTCCTCAGACTCTAGAAGCACTTCGAGAGGAGTTAGTGGTTGCCTGGAATGAGATACCACAGGATGACATTGACCACCTGATCAGAAGCATGCCTAGGCGCGTTGGAGAATGCGTAGCACATCAGGGTGCGTCCACACATTATTAAAGGTCAAAGGGCTTTAAAGCAGTGCAATCATTTTGAAATTTTTATCATTTACTTATTATGCTTCATTAAGTACTTATACAAAATTTTATTAAAATAAAACCATTTAAACTGGGTGTTCGGATTTATATGTCACTTAGTATACATTGAATCGCTTATAGCTCAACAAATAATCGTCAAAACTTCATAGTATGTTATATCAATAATTTCCTTTTGTACGGGTCTCTCTAAATGAGCAATAAAATAGTCTGATTAATACAAATGACCGATTTTACACTTTTTTAATAGAATGTTTCATATTTTATTACATATTTCAGTAGACGCCTCCAAGAGAAGAAGAGATTGATATTAAAAACTACGCTCGTTTTGACATCATGCCGATTCACTATTTTTGTGGATGGTGGTTTTATATTCAAGGATTGACTTTTATTACTTTCATGGTAAAATATAGTATCCATGCATTAATCTATCCATCCTTCTAATTTGGTCCGTTCAAGAGATAGATAATAATAATAATAAATCGTCTTTATTTAGGGGGTGAAGTTTAGCATAATGCTACTCTGCCACTTAACTCCTTAATTAGAGGGTTTCCTTTTTGAAAAGCACTGTAAGAAAGCTCAAAAATGAGTGGCGTTGCTACGTGGAGCTTTTTTTGATTCGCCTTTATGCACATCTGGTTTTTAGGCACCAGTCCCAAAGAAGAAATGGGAAGGAATCTGGGATGCGACGAAATTCGGCAACATATGCAATCAGATGAGTTATACGCCTCCCAATCAAAGTGAAGATTGCTTATTTGTGAATGTCTATACACCCAATGTGAGTAGCATTCATTAAAATGGCGGAAAATCATTACTATGAGCAGACTAACATTTTTTTTCTTTTTACAATATTATACTGCTTATTACGCGGTAAAAGATAACTGATGTCGATTTAATATCTACAGATTACTGACAATTTGCCAGTGATGTTTTTTATATATGGAGGGGGATTCGTCGCAGGTGCCTCTAACTCCTATGGTCCTGATTTCTTAATGGAGCAGGACGTTGTTCTGGTTACAATCAACTACAGAGTAGGACCTTATGGTAAGGACAATGACTCCAAAGAAGGGATTTCCGGAAGCGGAACATGGTTTTCGCCCAAAAAATCCTTGGTGTAGGTCTTGACTAGGGAGGCACCGAGTAGTGATTTTTTCCAAAGCACCGAGTACCGGGTACTCTGCTCTGCGATATTTCAACTACTGTTAGGCCTGGTTTTTCAATCGCAAGTTAACTGTAATTTCACTGTCAACCAACGTTTTTATGGTCATTCCAGGTTGCACTTTAGTACGACAGTGATGTACTATTTTTATTTGTAAAAATAATGCCACTAATCCCCTGTATCTCCGCCACTGGTGCACATTAATTTTAAGTAAACACTTTTGAATGTGGACAATACTTAGGTAAATCCACATACTAAAATGCGGGGTTGTGTATGATGTTTTATTTTTGGTCACGACTGGTGAATCACCCGGTATGTTTTTCACTGTAGAATTCAGCAGAGATTGAGTTGAAATTGAATATTTTGGCATTACATTCTTGGAACATTTATTTTTGATAAGCTTTTCAATTCCTCCTGGTAGGAAAGAAGCACATTTGTAAAATAGACAATACGAGGCCTCAAGGTACTCAATTTTCGAAAAATTTACGTTATCGAATCGCTGCCATATCTCGGCCATCACGAACACTAACACTTATTTTTATAGGTTTCTGAACTGCCTTAAGGAAGAAGTTATAAAAAACGACAAATTAAAACTGCGTGATGTGGTGGAACCAATTCAAAGGTACTAAGCCTAAGATCCTTATACGATATTTTCTTTGTAGAAATGCGGAATACTCGTTATTTAGACTACCATATTTTGTATTAAAAAGTATTGAGTATCTACACCTTGAGTATAAAAAATTTGCTGAGCAAATACCGTAAATACACTAGCTAGCTTACTAGAGAAGACAGTCGGCATTTACTAGAACAACAGGAAAATGATTTTAGCAAAAATATGTTGCAACCTTAGCTGTTTTTTATATAAGATTAGAAAAATACATACCAGCTCAGAGTTTGGATATCACATCTGCAATTCTTAGATTCACACAAGCTGTGTGTCTTGCGTTTAGACCGAGTAATTACCCGGTGGAGTAATTTAATACTCTGTGCATCCCTAGTCTTGACCTCCCTCATCACTTATTAGCATTTCGTCCAAAGCACTTTAGTTCGAGAGAAACTGACCAATTTGATAACGTTGCAAAATACTGGTTTTATCCACTAATCGCGTGGATTATATGCTTTATTTTAAGTTACATGCCTAATTGATGTTACATATTGTTTTTCATATATTTTTAATCATTCCTGTTTTGAGTTTTTTATACAGGAACTTTCAAAAAGTTCCTCGTTGGATCATGGTAGCAAGCTCAACTTTAGAGTGATAATTTTGACGTAAAAATAATGGCGGACTTTTGGAACCCCTTAGCAGTACCTTATAACCCTGGACTATATTTTTACTAAGAATGAAAAGATATGGAACAAGGTGCCGTCCATTTCGGAGTCCAGATCACCGGCGACTTGATCTAGCACGAACACATCTCATCAATGGCGTCAGCTGCTGGGGAAAATTTAGTCAATTTGCTTAGGGCTAAGAAGTACTTGTTTCCACACAACCACCTTACCCTGTACAAAGCCTGGATAAGACCTATTATGTAACCATCGAAGAAAGAGACCCAACCAAAACATATTCACGTATACTCCACGTGATCGCGCTCCAGAACGCCGAGCGGGTTATAGGGCCGTACTGGGAATAAATGATTTGTGGTTCTATGACACGAGCAAAAAGTATGCAAAGTTATTGCAGGCATGTATAGGGTCCAAACGTAAAGCTTGGGATTAATGTATTTTTTTAATTTAACGGTCATGACCAGAAAGAAAACAACTGTCTATTGTTGTTTTTAGTAGAAGTGTTTTATCAAGAAATTATACTCGAAATGTGTCGTAAGACGCATTTATAAAGCAGGCTTTTAAAAAGTATCTTCACAAATTAAAACGATAATTGCATATGCATATGCATACAAGTATACCTAACCACCGCTTGAACAGCGACGCCAGTGTGCAAACAGTTAATTTTAATATTAGACTAAAAAATGAATAGCTAGGTGGAGTTGAAAGAAAAATGATTTGAATACATAATAATATATACGATACGTTAACGCGAAAATGAGGCCTTTTAGCTCTTTTTTTAGGTGGTGTGCAGCTAATATCAACAACTTCATCAGCTGTATCCGTATGCGACATTTTGAGTTCTACAAATTTAAACTGACAAATCTAATAAGCACACTGTAATACCAGTATAAATCTGATGCCAACTCTGTACTGTATATATATAGGTGAAAAATTAAAGCTATATATATATATAACTTGAGACGTGGTCATTGTCGTCTAGACCAGTTAGGTGAAAAATTAAAGCTTCCGCCTTTTGTTGGGTACTTCGACAAAATTTAAGCAAAGAGGACTCTTTATACTTTTTTTAATTCTCTCTAGCTTTCAATGGACTTTGCCATCATCATCAGCAGCTGCAATTACAATGATAACAGTAGCAACAAAAGTGTAAAATGAATTTAAATTGACTCAACTTACAGTAGTATGTGAGGATGTTGTTAATTGTGGTTTACGTATAGGATGAGGGAAACGTCCAGTAACATGGTGAGAGCTGGATACATGGTACAATGGTCAAAATTATATAAAATATGACAAGACAAGTTAAAAACAGATTAAAAATCATTTAAAAAACATTAGAGCATTACGTCGTGAAGCCACTTGATGATTGCACAAAATGGTGGTCATGGAATAATGAGTGAGATGAACCTTTGACAGAAGGCCAAAGGTTGTCAATGTCTGTGTTGAAAGATGGAACGAATTGTGGGCGTGTGCCAAACGTTGCCAAATCACTTCAGATGATGTGATTTTCAGAATGTTATGTAAGAAATTGTTAAACCGACCAGAGGCAGTTGAATAAACTATATTTTAATTAATGGGAATTTTAAATTAATAATTATTAATAAATCGCGAGAAGAGAATTATTAGATTTTGAGTGGAATGAAATTTGTTGGTGGAATCGGCCAAAACACAGATTATATTTATGGTTGTGAAAAGTTGAAATTTGGGGAGATTCAACTGCCTCTGGTCGGTTTAACAATTTCTTACATAACATTCTGAAAATCACATCATCTGAAGTGATTTGGCAACGTTTGGCACACGCCCACAATTCGTTCCATCTTTCAGCACAGACATTGACAACCTTCGACCTTCTGTCAAAGGTTCAACTCACTCATTATTCCATGACCACCATTTTGTGCAATCATCAAGTGGCTTCACGACGTAATGCTCTAATGTTTTTTAAATAATTTTTAATCTGTTTTTAACTTGTCTTGTCATATTTTATATAATTTTGACCATTGTACCATGTATCCAGCTCTCACCATGTTACTGGACGTTTCCCTCATCCTATACGTAAACAACAATTAGCAACATCCTCACATACTACTGTAAGTTGATTCAATTTAAATTCAGTTTACACTTTTGTTGCTACTGTTATCATTGTGATTGCAGCTCCTGATGATGATGGCAAAGTCCATTGAAAGCTAGAGAGAATAAAAAAAAGTATAAAGAGTCATCTTTGCTTAAATTTTGTCGAAGTACCCAACAAAAGGCGGAAGCTTTAATTTTTCACCTATATATATATATACTATAGCATTAACAGCCGGCAGCTGGGGCCAGACTGCATGCACGGTCTCCCACTCCATTCTCCGGTTTAGCCATTGGTTCTGTGTAAGGGGTCGACCTATTCTGCCCAATAACAGTTATCTCTCTTGAAATATATCTGTGTACTGATCACGCAATAATCACGCGATGATCACTGTTTTGGTTTAGTCTCTTTCTTCGATACATACATAATAGCCTCGAGTATTGCTCACATCTTTGGGGTAGTGCAGTCCCTACTGCATTATCTATGTTCGATGCTGTTAAGAGGAGGGCTGATCAATGACTCTTCTCTAACGGGCGTTTTTTAGTATTACTTAGTCAGGTCAGTTATATTCTAAAACGTGAAAAAGGTTATATGAAAAATGAGATGTAGGGTTGCCCTAGAACTCATTAAAATAAACCAGATACGCAACGCCATGACTTCAAAAACAGTATTTTGAGCGTAATTAAATCACAATGACGTTCTTCATTCTCCGACATCTGAAAAACTAAAGCTCATCGGACGAAATACTGTTGAGGCATCAATTGAGAGGTTATTACCTACACACAAGACTTTTCTAGATGAAATGCGTGTTCCGGTCCTGCAGACCTCTCCCTGGACTAAAAATAAATGTTTTTATTATTTTAATTAAGCACCAGATGTTCAGACTTTTTTCCAATATTACGTCTGGCAGAAGCTCCCCCAGATAGTCATGTTTTTTTTTGCATAATGCGATGAGACAGATTAGGTTCAATTTTGCTTATTCTGTGACGTAAATTTTTTTCGAATCAGCGATATTCTTCGGAATGTAAAAGTAAAATGCATCAATCAGGAGCTTAAAGATCGGTAGTTGACTGGAGCTGACGAAATGCCAGCTGAGCTGTTGAAAAAAGCCGGTATACCTCTGATATCTGTAAGAACATGTGGTTTGTGGTTATTTTTTATTGGTCATTACTTAAACTCAGCCATTTAACAACAAAAATAACTTTCAGGTTTCCTTTCGACTGGAGATGATTTGGTACCTGGAAACGCTGGATTGAAAGATCAGACTTTGGCCTTAAAGTGGGCCAATCAGTACATCCATCATTTTGGTGGTGATCCAACCAAAATTACAATTTTTGGTCAGAGTGCTGGCTCTGCTTCTTGTGCTTATCAGATTATGAGTCCGTTATCTAAAGGTATAACGATATGGGATAAGTTAAGTTTTGTACCAGTGAAGTTATAGGGGATATTGAGAAAACGACCGGGTTGTGAAACCGACCATTCTACATAGATAGTACTGACATAAAGAAGAAAAAACAATATTCTTGAAATTTCTGTTATTTGTTGTCTCATAACATACGAGGGTGGTCCCAGAAGTACCCGGCCTGACCTAGAGATGGCGATAGTTGTTTGAAAAATATCATTGTATTAGAAAGTATGCAACCTATAAAGCATATGTGTCAAGTTTGAACACGCCACGTTGTATAATATTTATTTGGCAGCCATTAATACTGAACGTTTTCAGTGAATTTGTGAAAATGGAGAAAATTGGTAATCGTTATGTGGTACAATACTTTTATTTCAAAGGGCTCAGCCCAACCAATATAAAAGCTGAACTGGATTTTACTCTGGGCGAGTCTGCTCCTTCGTTTACAACAGTAAAATATTGGGTAGCAGAGTTCAAACGAGGCCGTATGAGCTGCCAAGACGAGCATCGCAGTGGTCGACCAAATGAGGTGACGACTCCAGAAATGGTGAAGAAAATTCACAAAGCGGTACAGAATGATTTCATCGCATATTATCTGAAAATTTGGACATGAGAAAGCTGTGCGTAAGATGGGTGCCGCGAGCAAAAACAGTGTCGTGAAGATGTTTCAATTGAGTGTTTAGAGAAGTTTCACAGCAACAAAGCAGAATTTTTGCGTCGTTTCATAACCATGAATGAAACATGGGTCCATCACTTCACACCCGAGACAAAAGAACAATCAAAACAATGGACTCAAAAGGGACAACCGGCTCCAAAGAAGGCGAAGACCGTTTCATCTGCAGGCAAGGTTATGGCGTCGGTTTTTTGGAATGCGCGTGGGATAATTTTCATTGACTATCTTGAAAAAGGTAAAACTACCAACGACGAGTATTATGCGAACTTATTGCAACGTTTGAGCGATGAAATCCAGCAAAAACGGCCGCATTTGGTTAAGAAGAAAGTGTTGTTTCATCCAGACAATGCACCAGCTCACAAATCCGTTATTGCAATGGCCAAAATTAACGAATTAAAGTTTGAATTGCTACCTCATGCACCCTATTCTCCAGATTTAGCCCCCTCGGATTATCTTCTGTCTACAAACTTGAAAAAATGGCTCAGTGGTCAAAGATTTTCTCACGATGAAGAAGTGATGTCGGCAGTTAATGGCTATTTTGAGGAGCAAGATATCTTATTATAAAAAAGGTATCGAACTTATTGAACATCGCTGGGAAATATATATATATATATATATATATATATATATAATGTATAGAGCTCAAAGGAGATTATGTTGAAAAATAAATACATTTTTTTACAAAAATTTTGTGTTTTCTTCGTTGGGTCGGGTACTTCTGGGACCACCCTCGTAGTATACCCCTGATTGCTGAAACATTCCTCTATTATCGCTTTTTTATTAACATTTTAGGTTTGTTCAGAAGCGCAATCTTGCTCAGTGGAACATCGCTAAGTCCATGGGCGTACCAAAGGAACTACCAGCTATATTCGAGGGAATTGATCAGAAATATAGATCCTGCAAACTACCATAAATATAATACTTCTCAAACTATTTACGAGTTTCTCAAAAACATACCAACAGAGATAATTAATGATGCATGCTTAGCGATGGTAACAACGGTAGGCTAAAGAGACTTACAAATAAGATTAGAAAAACATAATATAATCCAACGAAATTTTAACATCATAATAACTAATTGAGGCCTCACACGGTAGAGCCCATAGATAGCAATTTACTCATTTATACCCCATTGGTAGTCAATTTACGCCCAACATGCCCAAAAGCGAGATTGTACTGGTCCGTATTTTCCTCAATGGTCTTGGAATAATCTAACAAAATAAATTATTATTTTTATAGAAAGAAGTACACGTACTTTTCACAATTCTTTATTTGCTGGAAGTACTTGAATCATCGTCCGAATGGCTAATATTAATTATTACAGGATCAATTTGATTATCGGTGATATTGTCCAGATCCCACATGTTTGATTCGATTTTGTTTCACGTCAGAAAATTTGAATGTTCCATTGTTTAAAGCCACGTATGTTTTTATATTTACCCAAATCATTTCAACGGGATTTAATTCGCAGTGATGAGGGGTCTTATTTTGGTTTTTAGTCATTTCGTCAATAACATTAAGATCATATTTATATTTGTGCGGACTGACTAGATGGATAAGTTCTGCTTTGACCATATTTCCATTGAAACTAATGTCTTTTGGGAGCCATTGTTGAATTTCTGCCTTTCTTGCGGACATGGTGGGAATTTTTTCTAGTTTTACAATGATGGAATTGTCGTCAAGCTTTGGGAGCGTTTCTTTAAACCATCGTTCAAATGAACTCCTGTCCAGTTCTTCATGGTAATCGGTCGTTTTCTTTGAGTCAAATGCCTATAGGGCAGTGGGCACAAAGCCATCTTCACTGCCAATGTGACAGATAAAAAATCGTTTTCTTTTTTCTGGAAATAATTATTTCATATAGGATTCAAGAAAACTGATAATAATACAAGAAAAAAAGCGTGGGCTCATAGATTCAGTCTACTTGACACCATTTTTACAACACAAATGACGAATTGGTTAGATACACCTACCTGACGGATTCTTTAGGTCAGTGGTTAGTTCACGGAAGATGGCTTGTCTTGCTGATTTAATTGTACCCATACTTTAGGTTTTGTATGTCCTGGATTTGTATCCAAGTAATAAATCTTCCTGCCCAGGTAGCGGTATTTCTTTATTATTATTAACCTTCTTAATACTTTGTCTATGGTGGGAAGTTCCTGTCTTTAAAAAAATTGATGGACTTTGCGTCTGATGGCATTTCGATAAAAGTTATCAACTGTATCCAGGAGCTTCGTGTGTGCCTCTGGTGGGGTGGACACAGTTTTTTTGTTTTTTTATATTCTTCAACAATGTTGAAAATTGTCTTAGGACATAACCCTGTTTTGTTTGCCACATGTCTTTCAGTATCATGAAGTTCCATTTCAGGATGCTCTAAAGGCTTAGGCGGCTGCCACTTTGCCGCGCTGCATCTTTGTTGTGCCGGGGAGTAAATGGACTACGAATAGGATATAGTTCGCCAGAGACAGATTAGCGTTAACGCAATAATTATACTTTTTTACATCATGTATACAGTGGACCTCCAGTAATCCAACAAACATTATGCAGGGCAATGTCGGACTATCGAATTTGTCGGATTATAGAGCACTGCCTAAAACCCCCTATAGTCCGCATTTTTTACAAAAGAGTACCTTGAAATACGTCAAATTACATATCCAATGGTAAGATTATATATGTTATGTATATGTATGTACTTTGAAGTACAAATCATACATAGATTATGTATGTCGAATTTAGTAAATTAAATAACAATAGGGAGCTTACGTTTTATTATAAAATTAAGCATAAATGCACATACATATGTACCAAAATAATCAAGAATTATTAAAAAAAATCATTAATGAATTTATCAAATTATGAAGCTTGGAAATGTTCATCAATATTTTTTTAAGGTTGTTATAACGCGAGATCAGAAATTTGTCCCTCAGTCTTCTCAAAAGTAAAAGTTCGTTGTAGGATGTACCATTCTCTTCAGCCCATTGTAAACCTAGCTCAAAGGCGTTAATTGCGTCTTGTGCTGTGACTTGTGGAGCAGTTGCAATCACGTCGTCGTTATTTTCCTGATTGTTTGTTGTATAATTAGAAACCTCTTTTATAATCTCTTCGTCAGACATTTCATGAAAAACATTTTCCTCTTTATCCATTCCACGGCACCAGATTTCCAAATCTTCCGGACTTATCTGTGTTTCAGTAGCGACTTGTTCTATAACTTTCGAAGTTAAACTGATTTGTGGAACGTTGCTAGGAGTGGTGACTATATCTGGCCATAACTTTTTCCAAGACGATTTAATAGTTGATGACGGTAACGCATTCCACGACTGCCAAAGAGCAAAAACCAAGTCTTTCATATTAAATTCTTTTAAAGCTTTTTCTATTGGTTGGTCTTTTGATACGGCTCTCAGAAGTAGGTTTTTCTTATAGTCTTGCTTGACAAACTGAGTGATATTGTGGTCCATTGGTTGAATCAGTGCAGTGCAATTTGGCGGAAGACACATCGCAGTGATGCATTTATCATCAGATGTTAGTTCTTCTTCAGACGGATGACCGGGAGCGTTATCAAGAAGCAACAACGCCTTTTGAGGAAAATTATGATATTTTAACCATTTTCTAACTTCAGGTACGAAGCATTCATCAAACCACTTTTTGAAAAGGTCTTTTGTCGTCCATGCACTTTTTTGTCCGTAATAGTGTACAGGTAAATCAATGTTTTTGAATGTCCGCGGTTTATTAGATTTCCAAATGACCATCATCTTAAGCGCGTGTGTGCCCGCAGCTTTGGCACATGGTAGTATTGTTACACGCTCTTTACGTACTTTTCGTCCAGGTACGGATTTTTCGTTACAAAAAACGAAAGTTTTGTTAGGCATCACATGCCAAAAAAGCTCTGATTCGTCTGCATTGTACACCTGTGACGGTTAAGATTTAAATCGTTCACCTTTTGCAAAAATCTTAATTTAAACGGCTCTATGCAGGTGGCATCGTTAGAAAGTTTCTCTCCTGTAATAGTCATTAAACGTATGCCATGACGACTTTCAAAACGTTCTAGCCATCCTTTGCTGGTAACAATCATCTTTTTTTGTTATTTCCTTATAAAAAAACTTAGCTTTCATGGCCAACATGGGTCCTGAAAGTGCATGGCTATTTCTTTCCTGAAGAAACCACATGTACAAAGCTTCTTCCACTTCTGGATGTTCAGCTTTCTTGAGTGTCTGTCTCTTGCCTGGCCCGCAGTCAGTAGTTGACACGAACTTCTTGATCTTCTCGTGGTTTCTTTTAATGTCATAAATTGTAGATCGGCCTACGCCGTATTCACTTGCTAAACTACTGAAAGTTTCATTTCGATTTAAGCGGTCTAAAATATAACATTTTTCTTTAATTGTCAATGTATTGTGCTTTCGCTTCTGAGTTTGTGATGACATTACTAGGTACTATACTTAATACACAATGAATAAATAGTAAACAATGAACGCACGCTAGGCCGTACCGCTATCACATGTAGTCAAATTCAAACTAAGTAAAACAATGCTTACGCGTCGAGCACGATAGCGGTGGCGCGTACAAGTTGTAACCTGTTCAAACCTGCGCGATCCTCATTAGCGAAGATTGTCAAATACGTATGTATGTAATATTCAAAGACATGTCGGATGACAAGGGGCGCCGGATTAGACAGGGGCCGGATTATCGGGGGTCCACTGTAATAAAAAGGTAGAGATAATTATTTCTTGGAACTGTTCAGGTGGAGGGTTCATTCCAATCTCACTCAATCTTCTTAGGAGAGGCTTCTTGGTAAATTTCAGGCGATTTTTAGATCACTTCATTGAGTTTTACCTTTTTGTCATTGAAACAACGCTCATTTTATCGAAATCAAGCAAGGATAATTTATTCAGAATGGATATATTATCTTTCAGCCGTTATTATACAGGGTGATATAAATTAGCAATATTGCGCTGTAGCTAGGACGTCCTTGTCGAACTGAATGTAATAATTGCTTTTTATTTTTTATTTATCATATGGTATAGTACGTTATCTGCCTACTATGATGTAAAAATTTTGTTAGTAGAGTATACGATGTGGTTTAAAATTTGGGCGTGGTGCGAAACGAAGCGCCAGATAATATCGTCTTAGAATAATTGCAAGAATTGCAACATGACCTGATCTGAAATACTGAAAAGTAAAGCCCCGGTTAAGGCGTATAAAGTACAACTTAGTCACCATATGCATATGCTTATTATTTTCCAGAATCCTAAAAGCTATCTACAGTTGTACCAAGGATTTTTCTTTGCGCCGGTATACGAGCACGAGCACGATGGTGCTTTTTTGACTAAACAGGCATACGAAGCTATGGAAGAGGGAGATTTCAATAAAGTACCAGTATTACTCGGTGCTACTAGCGAGGAAGACTATTTCCTCATGGAAGGTAAGTCAGGTAGTATACAGGAAACCAAACATGCTACTTTGTCCGACCGACCGAAAAGATCCAACCATGGATAGCTGTTTCGTGCTGTTTGGCAACTCATCAACATGGTATAGGCTTTGTCTCTGCGATAGCGAGAAAAAGGATAGCCACTATTATCTATCGAAGATAGTATCTTTGGTCGGTAGCATGATGCTTAATATTGTTCAATAGTTATTAGATCACATGTATTATGCCGCCAGAATCGTCAGCCTCTAGCGGTTATAATGGTGACTGGGCCATCAAACAATATATACAGGGTGACTTTGAAGTTGAGTCATTAATTTTCAGATAATGATTGTAGAAGGAAGATAAACCAAAATATGTGTATAAAAATAAAAAAAATATAAAAAAAAATTTTACCTTGTTTTATAAAGTATCCTCCCGACAAGTATTTCAGTGCGGACCTGTATTTGATCGTGAGGTCCCCTGTGAGGTCTGAAGTCACCTGATTCACGAGCCCGTTGTACTACATTAACAAAGGCACGATGGGTTGGTTGCACTCGATTGGGAAACCGATCCGCATAAACATGTGCCATTTTTTATTTCGTTTGAGCCACGCAACAGACACTATTCACACGCGACTGTATGTACGAGTATAACTGAACTGAATAAAATAAACATCGTTCCAAATTCTTTCGCTTTTATGTTTCCGATGCGATGAACCGATAAGGTGGATTATATCCGTTGTTGCCAAACACGAGTACATGATATTATTGAGACAGGGCGGTACTCAAACTTCCAAAGGGCTATAACTTTGTTACTTTAATTTTACCAGAAAAATGGTAAAGGAAAAAAACATTTCTTTTGATCATATCTACTCACTGTTAAAATAAATGACTCAACTTCGAAGTCACCCTGTATATATACTCTCGCAGTGGTCGATTCTGGTAACAGATGGCGCTCTGCGCTGAATTATTTCGATGGTATACAGGGTTCTCCAACGATCTCCAAAAAAACTATAAATTTCGAAAACAAGTTGTTTTTTTGGATGTTATATGACATGTACAGCTGTGTACGATCAAGGAAATCCCATAGATATAATATATCTTGTTTACGAAAGAGCTTTTGATAAAGTTCCGCATAAACATTTTATTTACAAAAATTGAGCATTTTGATGCACGAGGTAAGCTTTACGATTGGATAGAGGCATTTCTTACTGACAAGTAAGGCGAATTATTCCAAGAAAAAACAAACGAACTGTCAACTAAGATTCAGATAAATAAGATGTATTGTCATTGTACTAAATAAGATCACCTTTGTGATTGAAACGTTTACAGCGAAGATTCTGTCAATACATGTTGTTTTGTTGGAAAGATGTTACACTAACAGATATATGTTACATTAATGCATGACACAGAGTGCTACAAAATTCAGTAAGGGTAGTACCGTCAGTCAGTGCCACATTTGTAGGACACCTTTATGGCCTCCTCAATTTTCATAGCTTTCTAATGTTCCGTGTCAGCACTCTATGGAAATCAAGGAGACCATAAAGGCGTCCTACAATTATAGGAACGACTGACGATACGGCCTTCAATAACTGCTTCTAACGTTTGTAGATTTTCAATTATATATGACAGAAAGGATGAACCAACCATTCTCCAGTTCTTCGACTTTCCACAATAGACAGCACTGCATTAGCCTGCTAAGATTACGGTAGTTATTTATGGACAGGTGGCAGCGTTGCGTGGGAAGTGCAGAGTTAACCTACTTGATGCCATTTTTCTATTAGCAAACTTCGCATGTGAAGCTTTGTACTGCACTCTTATGATTTTGGCGACAAGTACCATTATTTTAGAAACAACATTCTCGTTACAGATAAAGAAGGTCTCGGTTACATATCTGAAATATTCACACAAAGTCGTGATTCAATACCAGATGATATGCATGTCACTGAGGAGAATAAGGATACCATCAAAGCTGAATTGATGAACTTTTATACTTCCGGAGGAAACTATGTGGACAACCCTAGGAAACTTGTCACAGTACGTATAATCAGATGTGACTCAATATTTAATCCACTCTGAGCACAATGCAAAAATTGACCAAAAAGTGCTGCAAACTGTTAAGCGTTGTTCTCACGGCAACCCGACTTCAACACAATTACGCATCTGCCACACAACCAGCAGTCTGGCCGAAAATAATTGCATAACGTACTTACCAAATATTTGTAAAATCTAGCCAGTTGAAACTTTTGAACAATGAAAAGGAAAAGTCTAATAGCTACGAAGAATAGTCGGATATATTCTAGAGGATGATTCCTTGTTAAAAAATATGAAAAAACTTCCTATAAACATGTTTTCAAGATACAGGGCGATACATTTATTTGTTTTTTAATTAATACCTTGAAAAATATTTGCTCCATTCTGTCAAAATTTGGCAATATTATTTGTTGTAATACAAGACAAATTTTTCATTATTGGTTTTCCGAGTTGTGATTTTTTTAGCAAAAATTAATAAACCAATTTTGTCCAGTGACATGCAATAAGCCGGTTTTTATTTTTTTCTCGGAAAATGCTTAATCAAACAACAAATACTAAAATTACAAAAAAGGCAGTGGCCTTCCTTTTTTTTCCAATAATATTCGCCAAGTGCCACGCCTTTTTTTGGTTAATTAATAAAACACAATGACGGTTGGTCCAAGCAAAACAGTTGTATAGTGGCGTGCAAATTCAGGCTCTAGCTCAATAAAGCGGAGAGTAGGGGTTAAGAGCGCCAGTGACTTAGGACGGATTAAGCCACAACTCCCCGAGATGTTAGTAGGAACACACAAAAGGAGAGTCTAACAGAGATGACGGAATTTAACTAACAGTACATACCGAGAGAGCCAAATAAAACAAGATATCAAATGAATCACAATATATTGATTAATAAAAAAAACCGCACATGTGCTCCACTACTGGAGTGCGAGTAATAAAAAAAAGAAAGGATGTTATAAATCTTAAATACAACCTGACAAAATTATTTTTCGAGATAACCCCGCAAAACGTCTACCGTAGTATACGCCCGAAGTATTTACAGATATTTTGCGGCTAAATATTAAACTTATCTGTAGGTCTTCTTTGTCAGGCGCGGCCGAGACGTCCTGGTCAAAAAGTGGCCAGTAGTGGGCACGTCACTGGGCAGGGGCTGCTTGCCTCGTTGCCAAAAATTATGGTAGTAAAAAAAACCCTAGAGAGAGAAAGACTGTTTAAAAATCTACTCTACTCTCTGTCTGAGATAAAACTACTCATTGAAAACAATCGCACTTGAAGTAAAACTATTTACATTTTTTTTGTACAAGAAAAGTAAAGTAAAGGCAAAAAAAAGATAAAAATGTACTAAACTAATATACCTTTGGTCTAAAAAGTTATGGCAGCTCAAAAATCAAAACCATGATCAATGTAATAGAAGGTGCCATGTAGGCACTGCCCCCATATTTGAATAAGTAGAATGTCCAATAAAATCAAGAAGTCTCTAAGAATTTCAATAAGCAATAATAAATGTATGAAGATCTATGAAATTGTTAATTAGAATGATATTTTACCTGTTCACATCAGGTTTTTTTTCCAAGGGGATGGCTTCCACTAATTTGCAAATCTGCAACAAGATGCAACCAACCGGAGGAGAAAGGATGATGATTATCTTCTGTTTCTATTGACTAAAAGAAAGCAGATATTGAACGAACGTCATCAGGACACCCATTAAGGCACGTGGTCCGAAGGTATATAAAAAAGAACTTACCGCTGAGGGTCAAAATCCCATAAAAAAGCACCCAAACCAAAATGCCTAAATTTAAGTTACACAAAAAAAGGGTCCTTGTCCATGAATTGGCGCTTGGGGCCTAATATCCCTCGAAAATGACGAAACGACCCCTGCACCACGACCTCAACGGAAACAGTAAAGCGAATTACGCAGCACATGTAACGTTCTAGAAAAAGGTATCTTGAGTGGCCTTGAAGAAGATATGTTTTATAGGAAGCCATCTAACGGAGAAAAATTACAGAGTTTTTTTGCTGATCGTCAACACCATACTGAATCGCTGAGAAAGAAAGATATAATACGAGTGCAATTATACAATCAATAAACTATTAAATTTGTCAAAAGAAAATCAGTGAAAAGGGTTTGGCCTAGGAATGGGCAGTCTATTATCAATGAAGAGAAATTCAAACTACGGATAAGTGATAAATAGTAAAAAAAGGTTACCTGATTTTGGCACGTGACACAAGATGCCCTCGGGACGTCACTGGTTCTAATAATTTTATCTACTTAGGACTAAATCAGCCTCTTCATACAATAAATACTATCGCCAAATTTCAACAGAATCGAGTGAATATTTTTCACGATATCAATTAAAAAAAAATAACAAGGAATCACCCTCTCCGTCTATTTTTCGAATACCCTGTATAGTATTTAGTGTAACTAAATTACATCTTCACGAAACTATTTGACATGACATAGAAGTCCCAATGAGTTCAAGACATCTTGTTCAAGGAACAGGGGACGAGTAGGGTCTACAGGGTGGATGCCGCATTTGTTGCATGCTGATCAGAAGCGGATGTGCAAGCGACTTTCCCAGCAATGTTTGGACCAGTTCAATATGAATCTGACCGATTTTATATGGCGATTGGTTACCACTAAACGGCAGAAACAAACCAGCACTCGAAGCAGTCAGTAGGCAGACGAAGCTGGTGGTTTAGCGTCAAAGAGGCGTAGTCGACTGGATCTGCTTGAATGGCCTTGTGCATGCGAAGTGGATTCTGGTAATTGATTACCTTGAAGAGCGTCGAACAATTATGGGCAACTGCTGTTCCAACACTCTTGATCAACTGTCAACCACTCTTCCACTTTCGAGAAGGAATCCTTATGTCAGAAACACGTTGGATCAAGTGTGTTCGAGTCGAAGGGAATTCTGTAAAAAAATCTAATCATTTTTCAACTGAAAATCGTCATTGTCAGGCTGAGAAATGTTCAACCTACTTTCGTGACGGAACTGCAATATTATCTTTGATACAACTACATGAAGTTTTGTATTTGCAAGAAACGAATAAATGTACGTAATTCACCATCGAATAGACATTTATTAAGTTTTCCTTGTTGGCTTCCGAATCTTAATCCGTCAAGTTATCTAATTTCCTGTGATTCAATAAAATCTATGATCAGTGATATGTATTATTGTATTTTTACTTTTCATGTGAAAGCGTACGTAATTCGGTGATTATTTTCAGCTTATGAGTGATCATGATTTTGTAAAATCCGTGCTAAAGTTCGCTGAGCAGTTGGTGAAACACTCGCAAAACCCATACCTCTACCAGTTCTCTTACAAAGGTGTCTTGGGTTTTCATACAAATCAGTCAGGTAATCTTATCAAAGCCAAGTATATAAACTATAGCTAAGTTTACAATTTTAATATGTGCTGGTACTCAAATTCCAAGATTTTAGGAAAATGAAATTCAGCAAACTCAAAACTAGGACGCAGAGCGTCAAAACAAAGTATGCCTCAAATCTTATTTTTGTTTAATGGTGAATTGCGTTTCTTCTCAGATAATGAGCCGTATTCATAAAAGAGAAGCATATCCTCGGAAGCATAAGGTAAAAGTATAAGGTCTTGCTTCGGAGAAAAAGGTACAAGTATAAGCATATCCTTGTTTTCATATTCATACTCGCGAGGATATCCTTCAAGAAGAAGTAAAAGGTTGACTGGTATTTGTATCTTGAGCGACATGTCCTGACTTGTTTCAGCTTGTAGTTGACGTGGGAGTTCGTTCATTCAGCATCACTGACAGTTGTAAACCAGAGCTTACACAGACCGTTCCGTATTCTTACTGGATACAGTTTTTTATCAAATTAATAAGCGTGTCATCCTCAAGTTATGAGGAAACTATAGAAAATAATGGCAACGACCTGCAGTTCATCGCAGATGAAATTGCCATTGCTCCCATTATTTTCCAAAAGTCACAAGTGCAAAAAATAAAAATGAGAAAGGACAATGCCTTGAAGAAGATGTTGAAAAAATACGAATCAACATTCGGTAAACCATTAGATACTAAAGGCTTATTAAAAAAAATCAACAGCATGAAATCAAGATTGAAGAAAAAACAGATCTAAAAAAACTTGTAATAAAGCAATTAAATTGTTAGATTGGGAAAAAAAGTTGCTGATAGCTATGGAAGGTGACTGTAATCCTACAATTGGGAAAATTAGAGGTGCCATTCAGGTTGGTAGTGTTCAAGAAGAAGGAAGTGAACTATTTACTGAGCGCAGTGAGCAAACAGTTGGTATTACAGCGCAAGCAATGCAGAAGAGATTGCCACCAAAAAGAAAATTAGCACCAGAGAAATACGAAGCTGAGGAAACCAAAGGGTTAACTACAAAAGAACTGCAACGTCTAGTGCTGTTACAGCAGTACCAAATAAGCATTTTACAACAAGAGTATTATAAAACGAAATAAGAAATGATGCAGCGTCAGAAGCCACCTGTAACTTATGATGTTCACGAAAATAAAACTTATTATAACTTATAAATACACTTTAATCAGAAAAACTATTTATTATTTGTTGACCTAGTTGGCGGAGAGGAAGTTCGTCATTCTCATGATTTCCTTCATCTTCGTCTGGGTCTTGTTTAACTAAATCAAAGTCAGGATCGCCCGAGCTCGTCGCAACATTATGGAGTTCAATACAAACAATAATTATTGTCGGAACAATTTCCAACTTTACGCGGCGAACATACTGTAGGATAGGAAATCGGCGTTTCAGTTGGCCGAGACAGCATTCAATTATAACTCTTTCTTGTTTTAAAAGCTTATATAATTTCTGCACCTGGAGTAGGATTTATGAAGGGAGTCTTAAGGCATGGCTCAATACCATAACCGTCATCGCCAAGTAGTATAACATTTACTTAATTTATTAGTTGTGATCTAGTCTGTAAATTTCTCCATATTCTGGAATCATGCACTGATCCAGGCCAACTGACATCAACACTTGTGAACATCTCTCTGGAATCACAAGTGGCTTGCACATTTAAAGTAGGTTTCCCTTTTCGGTTGATATACTCATCTCCATGGCGATTTGGTTTCAGGGTTCCTATATGTGTACAATCAATTACATCAATTGCTGTCGGAAATTTATACATGCTTTGCCATACCCGCTTGGCCTCCATCAGTTCATGGTTGGTAGTTGGAAACTTGATCCATTCGTTCGACTGTGCAACTATGCTGTTCACAACTCTATCCACAGTCCGAGATACCGTTGCTTGACTAACACCAAGTTGCTGACCAATACATTGTTGATATCCAGGGTCACCGAGATAGCGTAGACATATCTTCATTTTATGAATACATGAAAGTGCTCCTCCTCAGGTTTCCTCATTCTCAACTAAAAATCTGTTCGCAAGCCATTGTACATTTGCTTCGTCGAACCGATATCATGTTTTGACGTCACGGCCAAGTGAAGGTAAACGAGGTTTGTACGTTTTAACATCCACAATTTCCGCCATCATCGTTAGACCACCTTTCGTTACGAAGTTGAGTCTGCTACTGACCACACTCAGAATTTTTGAGGGATATGCTCCATATGCCAAGTATATGGTGAAGATTATGAATATCCTTTTACTTATGTCACTGCTTTGAAGGATATGCTTATACTCAAAAAGCAATTATAAATACCATTTGGAGGATTTCCTTCAAAATTTGCAAGTACAAGGATATTCTTTGTTTTATGAATACGGCTCAATGGGCCATCATGAGCCATCAACTGTTACTTGTTACATTTCATTGTAAATCTTTTCACATTTGTTGGTCTAACTGATTGTATTGCTGTTTTATTTTGTAGAAAAGGGTTTTTCTGATAAGGTTTCCCATGGTGAAGATGTAGGTTACATACTCAGCTTCGACAGGGAAGACTTATCAAATTTCCCCAAAGAGGATCAACTCGTACAGAAGCGATTCATAACGATGCTGACAAATTTCGCCAAATATCTGTAAGTAAAAATCGCATTTATTAACTCTGTTATAACCTTAATCAGAGAGTCGCCTCACGAAAATACACCAAAAGTGCAAATAATACTGAAAAATATTGGTAATTTAAGATGTCACGTTTGTACTTTTGAGCAGAATACATTCAAAATGCCACAATTATCAAATATCATTGTCGTATATATAATGATATCCGAATATTTAAGGGTGTGAATCTACATGAAAAATTAATGTTAGTTTGCTTTATAAAGTATGATCCAAAAATGCTTCCTTAAAAAAACTCGGGGTGTTGAAGTTTAAAAAAAAACAGTGGAAATTAATTAATATTTTCAGAACCGCTCCAGATATTTCAATAATATTTCGTACGTAGTGAAAGTTAATAAAGTTGCATATTTTTCAATGCCAAAATAATTTTTAACTTTTTCTTAAAAAATATCGAAGTCAATACCCGTACGCACGCCAATGTTAAACCTAAAAATTAATTTTGCATTGAAAAATATGCAACTTTATTATCTTTCACCACGTACTAAATATCAGTGAAATATCTGAAGCGGTTCTGAAAATATTAATTAATTTCCATTTTTTCCCTAAAACTTCAACACCCCGAGTTTTTGTAACATTTTTGGACCATAGTTTATAGAGCAGACTAACATTAATTGTTCATGTAGATTCACACCCTTAAATATTCGCATATCATTATGGAACACCCTGTATAGTAATGTTATAGCAGTTATACAGCTGGGACATCAAAGAGAGTATAAATCGAAACAACACAAGTTGACTCGGATGCTATACATAATCTATATTCAAGATTATTTTGTCCAGAATTGCATGGGAAGTACAGAGTCAGCCAATTTGACGCCATTTTTAACAGTTGAAATTGAAAGGGCAGAGTATACGTAAACTTTCATTAACTTCGACAAAATTTGCTTGAGGTTTAATCCATTTTAATGAAAACTACGCACGATGTTTGCTTAAAAACTCGCGTAGATTGGAGTGCCGTATCTGTGTCAGACTGAGAACTTTTGACCTTATTCTCGTATGTAGATACATATTCTACGATTTTTCAAGTTAATCGGTACCAGTCTATAGAATTTAATGGCTTCTACTTTAATCTAGGAATCCAACTCCAGAAAAGGATGAGACTCTCCAAAACATCATTTGGCCGAAGACGGATTCTGATTTCGTCTATCTGGATATAGGTTCTGATATGGAATTGAAAAACGGAATGAAGCACGAAATGTACAATTTCTGGAACGATCTGTATGCCCGTTATGGTGTACGACCCTTTGATACCTATTGAGCCTCGGCGTACTATATATTGTTTCTGTATAAGTTCCTGTATTGCAAATGTGTATAGGAATGTTGTAATATTTTCAAAACAGTTAGTGTCAAATTAATTAGGTGGAAATTATTAAATTGATCTTCTGGCTAATGTGTTTATTAATTCCATGCTTATATGAACAATAAAGAGATATCGGCATTGAAAACAACTCAAATTTCAGGTTTATGAGTTTTTTGCATGTAAATATCTTAGAACATGTATATGTCAAACATTTTTCTTTTCATTTTAGTATTGGATTGTCCTTTTTGTCCAAAATTCACCCATTTTAGAATTCCTAACTGATCATTTTATATGAACGCAATACTTTCTACTTCAAATTTATAATAAAAACACAATGACGCACAAAATATATAAAAATAAAAGCCTTATTATGATTGTGGATTGATTTGTTTCAGCTTTTGTTCTTATTGTGAGGGTAGTGAAGCAACCTTTTCATTTCATATATGTTTTGAGTCTTAGTAGTGTAACGCCTTGATAACAAGAACTTTTAGTAACAATGAGACACGATCATATCATCTACGCCTAAGCAATCAGAATTACGAGTACGCATCGAGTACATTTGTCGTCAGCTTCGAAGAAGACTCCGGAAAACGCGGGAGTGCTTCTGGACCCGTAGATTCGAAGATAAATACACACCCAGAAGGCAGAGCCGGCAGAGAGAGTCGACCGACAGTCGACAACGCGTCCAGTCGACATAGTCTTAGATTTGTCGCAAGCATTGTAATAAATTAGTGAAAGAGTAATAAATTAGACTTTAAATGGTAAAATCAAGTATAGGGGTTGCTATGGAAATGATTTATCGCCATTTTGTAGCATCCGCTACATTGGATTCAAAATGGCGGCCGGTAATTCATTTTGTATGGTCACGCAAACCAAACTTATGTACAAAATTTTAGCAATAGGTTAAGGCTGACTGGTTCAAAATTCAGTTCCAAGACTTGTACCACACATACAAATAGCTCAAGTTAAATAGAAGTCCGTAAAAAAGGTTAATATTCGAAAATGAGTAGACTTTGGACAAAAATGCCAAAACTGCGCAGTCAGGGATTAAGAACAATCAATTATTAAATCATAAAGAAAAATGATAATGAAAGTTTGAAATACATTTGTTCTAAAACAATGAAATGCAAAATGTTCGTAGATACGATCAACTTGAGAGTTATTTTTATTGCTGAAAAGCCCGGTTATAGACCCTGATCCTTTCATCCTGTAACAATTGTAGTTCTTTGCAAGTCCGCAAAACCGTTTGTATAAAAATATATGATCTTAAAGAATAATCTTAGTTTGTTATTATTCTTCTTATAACTCATTTAAAGCTTTGCGATAATCGAGCTTAAATTAGCAAATGCTTGAGATAAAACCTCGCCTTTGATAAGAAGTTTTACAAAAATAAGGAAAAAAATTATGTCCCAGAAGTCGACGTCATGCCGAAACCGGGTGATAGGCAAAGTCATAACAGCTATCAGAAAAATATGTAAAAAAATTTTATGTATGTGTTTTGAAAATTATAGGTCTTTGAAAAAAATATAGAAATTTTACACCCTACGGCAGTCTGTCAACTCCTCTTACTACAAATATTAACTTTTTTGGATTTTATTTTTACAATGTAATGATGAATAATGCATCTTCAAACTGGTGTCTCAACCTTACTGCCAACTTTTCTCGTTCAGGAAAAATTGCCACTTATTTCCCAACCAAGTATTCCAAAGTAAAACTTTGCTCAACTTTAACTGGCTGTACTGGAAAAAAATGTACTACGAGAGTTTGGCAAGTAACCTTAAAAGTTGGCGTATTTAATAACGATTCCAAAATGGTATAACACTAACACTAACACTTAGAAGATTACTCGTTAACTTATGCACAATTTTTATTTGAAGAAAACTGATGAAAATTTTTCAAAATTTCCTAATTAAACAGCGATTATGAAAACGCAAAAGGACCCTTAAGGATAACTGTTTGCACAACAGTGGGCGTCAAAATGCTGCTGATGATGATTTACCTTTACAGCAAATGCTCAAACTGTTTTCCTTCAGCCGCAATACACGCTCGACATCTTAAAAAAGATCGGGTTATTAAGCGAGCGAATCCACGGTTATTAACAAACTCAGCTGCTTCCAATAGTCTTTGCCGTAGCTCAGCTACATTTTGAATCGGCTTGAAATACACTTTTTCTTTTACAGTTCCCCAGTAAAAAAATTTAACGGATTCAAATCTGGTGACCGGGCTGGCCACGGTATTGTACCAGACCGCCCTATCCATCTGCCTGGAAAGTTTTGATCGAGATACTCTCTCACTGAGAGTACATAGTGCGCTGGGCAGCCATCATGCTGAAACCACATGTCCCTGTAAATACTCAGTGGCACGTCCTCCAATAAATTTTCTAAATGATTTTGCAAAAAACCTAAATAAACCTCAGCAGTCAAAGTCTCTGGGAACTCAAACGGACCGATTATTTTACCATTTAAAATTCCTGTCCAATGGTTTATCTTGAAGCGATATTGAGATTTATCTTCTCTCATCAAATGTGGCTTTGCTACGTGCCACTCGTGTAAGTTATGCAGGTTCATGTACCCATCTTTCTTAAACGTGGTCTCATCCGACCATAAAATTTTTTCAAAGAACTGTGGATCTTTCCTGTGTCCTTCTATATGTAACATTGTGCGACAAAAAGCAACTGGGATTTGGATTTTTTGAAAAATCATGTACAAAATTTATTGGTAGACGTGCCACTGAGTATTTACAGGGACATGTGGTTTCAGCATGATGGCTGCCCAGCGCACTATGCACTCTCAGTGAGAGAGTATCTCGATCAAAGGCAGATGCATAAGGCGGTCTGGTACAATACCGTGGCCAGCCCGATCACCTGATCTGAATCCTTTAGATTTTTTTACTGGGGAACTGTAAAATAAAAAGTGTATTTCAAGCCGATTCAAAATGTAGCTGAGCTACGGCAAAGACTATTGGAAGCAGCTGAGTTTGTTAATAACCGTGGATTCGCTCGTTTAATAACCCGATCTTTTTTAAGAAGATGTCGAGCGTGTATTGCGGCTGAAGGAAAACAGTTTGAGCAGTTGCTGTAAAGGTAAATGATCAACAGCAGCATTTTGACGCCCACTGTTGTGCAAACAGTTATCCTTAAGGGTCCTTGTGCGTTTTCATAATCGCTGTTTAATTAGGAAATTTTGAAAAATTTTCATCAGTTTTTCTTCAAATAAAATATAAATAAATAATCTTCTAAGTGTTATACCATTTTGGAATCGTTATTGAATGCGCCAACTTTTAAGGTTACTTGCCAAACTCTCGTAGTACATTTTTTCCAGCACAGCCAGTTAAAGTTGAGCAAAGTTTTACTTTGGAATACTTGGTTTGGAAATAAGTGGCAATTTTTCCTGAACGAGAAAAGTTGGCAGTAAGGTTGAAACACCAGTTTGAAGACCCATTATTCATCATTACATTGTGAAAATAAAATCCAAAAAAATTTAATATTTGTAGTAACAGGAGTTGACAGACTGCCGTAGGGTGTGAAATTTCTATACTTTTTTCAAAGACCTATAATTTTCAAAACACATACATAATTTTTTTTTAAATATTTTTCTGATAGCTGTTATGACTTTGTCTATCACCCGGTTTCGGCTTGACGTCGACTTCTGGGACACCCTGTATATGTATACATAGCGCGCCTGAGAACGGTATGGCATTAAAGAGTGAAATGTTCACTGTGAATCGATTAGATAACATAATAACAGCCATTCATTAATTCAGTAGGCAATAACATATTCCTTATAAACATTGTAAAGCCCTCATTCTGCGAATGTCTCCCAGCAATGACGTATTTGATTTTGTTCTTAGTGTTGTGTTTGGGTGGTAATATTTTGGTGAGTTTTTGGAACAATATGTAATTTCTACCGTAACTTTGAAAACGATAATACCTAGAAGGTCGGTTATATGTATGTTAAACTGGCACAAGGCTTGTCTAGTTATATAAACAAGAAAATTGAACTTGGAATGTTTTGAAATCTTAGACATTTCCAAAGATAGATAAACCAAATAACTTTTATAATAGTTTCATTTTTTCTACTGCATTCGAGGTGGTATTTCAAAAATGAAATGCACTTCAACAAGCTACTGTTATTTTTCTACAAGGTTTAGCCATATCTAGTGTTACATGACCAACTTGAAAGCTAATTGGAATTATGCGTAGAGTTTGGATTCTAATTCGAAACATTGTAGTTATAAATATTATGAAACTTTCAATATTTAAGACGATAAGTGGGCCGAATAAAAAACAAGATAAAACGTTTAGACGATAATCTTGAAGTATGTGGACCAAAATAGGGGTAAGCTCGTGCAACTTTTCTGGACAATAAGCAACCTGTATTTCAAGTTTATTGATGGTATATTCCTGTCAATGATCCAAGTTTGCTTACCAGTTATTCGCCGTCACATCATGCACATCATTAACGATTGTTTGGAAGAAGACTACTTTCCAAACATATGGAAATAAGCTCTAATTATACCAAATCCTAAAAAAATGCATGGTGATCTCAAACCAATTATTTTTTTACCAATTTTATCCTAAATTTTTGAAAAAATAGTAAAATTCCAATTGACCACTTACCTAGAAAAGTACTGTATACTTCCCGATACTAAATCCGCTTTCAGAAAAAATCATAGTTCAACATCTTCTCTACTCAATTTGCAAGACAGTGCCTGGGATAAGAAAATGGCCTAGCATTGATCTCGATAGACCATTCGAAAGTTTTTGACGGCATCAATAATAAATCATTACGTAGGACTTTCTCCTTTTCATTTTTCGACAATTACCTCCATCAAAGAACTTGTCAACCAAGAAATGTCTCCAGTGACACTACTTCCCCCAGGTGTGCCTCAGGGCTCCATATAGGGGCCACTGCTATTCTTCATATATATGGCTTTTGACTCTATCAAAAGTATTGATAATTCTCATGTCCAGTCTTTTTCAGATGGTATGAAGTTGCTTCATTATTTTAATTCACATCATATCAATAATACTGCCCACGTTTTACAGAACGATGTTAGTAAATTGACTAAGTACTCTTTAGATCATAATCTACTTATTAATCCACAAAAATCTACTACGTTATCATTTTGTGCCCAAAGGAAAAAAGACAATGTAACATTCAGAAAAATAATCAAATCTGATTCTGCAAAAACTCTTGGTGTTGTTTTAGGTACAAAATTTGGGTTTATTATATGTATATTAAGGCTTCGGACCCTTAATGCAAACAGGTATTTAATGAATTTTAAGTTGCGTAAAAAACTATGTGAAGCATTGGTCATATCTATTCTAAATTATTGTAATCTCGTATACTACACATATTTAGACAATTTCATCAAAAACTTCATTCAAGTTATTGAAAATAATTGTATACGTTTCATCTTTGACTTACGTAAATTTGATTGTGTATCAATTATCACTATTCAGTTTTTGTTCACGAATTACTACTCACGTCAAAACCCTCTTACTTGAGGGAAACATTTCATTTAATAATTATGTTCACTGTAGAACTCTCAGAGAAATTATTTATAATGACATTCCTAAAGTATATAAAGAATTTTCGTTACCTGTCTTTCGACAAAAAGTTAAAACAAATCTTCTGAATCCCTCAAAAATCAAGCATTCTTTTTTATCCCTAGTTTTAGTCAGGTTAATAATTTTTCGTGTACTGGCGCTTGGAAAGTATGCCTTTTTCTTCTTCATTTTTTACTTTCGATCTAACTAACCAAATCTGTTTGTGAATAGTGTATTGTTGTGAACATCTACTAGCGACTATATGGTTTAGTGTAAGAGTAGCAGCATGCTAAACTTCACCACATAAGTCTGTCTTTGTTTGGCTATACGACGCGAAGGTGCAATTGTAAATAATATTTTTTTTGCCTTCGCAATTTCGGAACCTACCAAATGCTATCTTTGCTACAAAGAGCTAAGGAAGTTTGACGATTTCAGGCGTCTCTAGTTCGTTTCCTCAAGTTATGCAGAGGTTTGAGTTCTATGTTAGTCTTTTCTAGCTATGGTTGTTATTCTTTCACTGAAGCTAGAATGTTCACTGCCAAAAACAATAGCTCAAGGGGGATATCGATAAAATTTTATGATTTCTTTGGTATGGATTAGAAACCTAGCAGGTGCTATATTGCCAATTTGACCCATCTACTGATCGGAAGCTGATTTTCAGACACATTTTTTGACCGTACCTACCAAATAATTACAATTCCCATGGAAAATTAGTTTAGATCAAATTGGCTAATACTAGTATTATAGCATCTTGTCCAAACGGTTCCATGGGTATCAAAATTGCCAGAATAACCCTAAAGTTCCTTTGGTTACTTTCTTTATTTTTTACTTCCTTCTTACCTCATTGAAACTGTCACTATTTTTGAAATCACCTTATATATATTGGCATACTCTTAGAATCCGTTACCTAATCTGCATAAATTGGAGGTAACCATCTGGCTTATATAATTTCATAACATTCTAACAGCGCGAAAAATAATTACTATATATGAACAGGTCATGCACATTTTTCGCATGGGAGTGTCTCATGGCTGATAAATGTCTACTATCTGAACGTGCTAACGAAGACTTTAAAACAGTAGAGCCTTAGTCAGGGTAATTAAAAAACAGTGATAATATTCGAATGGCAAAAATTACGAGAAAAAACAGTATGGAAAGTTATAAATGGCGAGTGGTAAGGTTAGTCATAGCAACGTTGCCAGGTGGTCGGTACTACCGGTAAGGCAGGAAAGAACTTTATAGATTGCAATGTTGTCAAATGGATGAGAACTATGGACTAATTGTATAGGTCTGTTTGGCTGACTTGACCCGTTTGCCTTTTTGGTATGTCCACCAACATGTCCATCATCTCCATAGTGACATTATTCCATTTTCTACATAACGTAGCTCATAGTTTGCCCTTGTTGCCTCGCCTTCCAGGCATATGTGCAATGAAGAGTAGTTGTCACAAAACCTACGTCTTTTTGATGATATTCCACTATGTGGAAAATTTTACTAGAAGCTGTTTCAAAGGCGTGCGACGCATATAGTCTATCTACTTGATGACATTTATTAGACCTGTGATTAGAAAAATTGTGAATTTTTGCAGGCAGAAGATGTATTAGTACAGCTGCCACTAGGTACAGTAAAGGGATTGACAAGGTCAACTGCTAAGGGTACAACGTTTTATTCCTTCCAAGGAATACCTTATGCTGAAAAGCCAATCGGTGATTTGAGATTCCAGGTAAATTCCATTACACATAACTTGACAGAGTAATAAAAAAATCCATCCACCTTCTTGTACTCCTCTACATCTTGTTGGTTTAGGTACCAGTCTCAAAGAGCAGTTGGAATGGAACATGGGATGCTTCGAAAGAAGGAAGCATATGCAACCAGATGAACAATGAGCGACCAAATCAAAGCGAAGACTGCTTATTTATTAATGTGTTCACACCGAAAGTAAGTAGCGACTTCAGAAGTTGTGGATAGGTGACGTCACATTATATATACAGGGTGTTTCAGTTTATTGTTGCATAACTTTAAGATTCGATAGAACTTTTAAAATTAATGCATAAAGTCTATATAATCATGGGTCGAAAAATGCGTGGCTTCCGAAATACAGGGTGTTTAAATTTACTTTCTTAAATAGTTTTTTTTTTAAATATTTCGAACAATATTTGATGTATAACAGTAAAAATTGGTATACAAGGGTTTTTTGGTACGACAAAACGAACCATAGGCATAGTTTTACTGTAGCCGCTAGAGGGCGCTCTCTACTGTACCTGTAGTGTATTAAAATGACCGAAAAATTTTCTTAGTGCAATTTTTTGCTTTTTGAATAAAAAAAAAAGATTCTTCGCAGTTTTCTGCATAAAAAAGCTCTCCTGGGAGTTTTCGTTATAGTTAGCCGTTTTTGAGATATTTCGATTATTAAGGTTCGATGCATTTTTAATTATTTACATTTTCGATTTCGGCATTACAAGTAATTAAGATGATCGTTTAGATTGTGTTTTTAAACACAGCAATAATTCCTAACTCCAAATGAATACAAAAAAAAACAGAATATTAATTTGTTTGATTTTCCAATATTATTTTTAACAAATTAAATGAATATTGGATGCTATTGGATAGTTAGGACAAACATACAAAATCTAAAGTAGTTGCTCGGAATGTAAACCCAATTGTTCAATACACAATTCACATCTACGAATAAGGCCTTATTTCATCACATGCATTCCTGATTCTGCATATCTCTTGTGGTTACGGGAGTCTGGTACACTTTTTCTTTTAGAAATCCCTACACAAAGAAATCTAATGGATTTAGGTCAGGGGATCGTGGAGGCCAGGCGACTGGTCCTCCACGGCCGATCCATCTTTCTGGATAATTTTCGTCCAGCCAGTTTCTAACTATTCTCGAATAATGAGCTGGACAACCATCAAGCTGGAACCCCAGGCCAATCTTCTTAAATCTAACATAACATCATCCCACATATTTGCATCTTCAGCCTTTAAAAACTCCAAGAAGGTCGCAGCATTTAACCTTGCAGGCAAAAGGTAGGGTTCAAATAGTCGATTACGGTAGATACCAATCCACACGTTCACACTAAATTCATGCTGAAAATTTCTTTCCCGAACTGCATGCGGATTTTCATGCGACCAAATATGTTGATTATGAAAATTTACCACTCCACGTCTAGTGAAGAATGACTCATCGGTCCATAAAACGTTACTTAAAAACTCCCTATTATTATCAGTTCTATCAAGAATCCACTGACAAAATGTGATTCTTCCTTCTCCGTCCCCTGGCTGTAGTCCTTGCACAGGTTGCAAATGGTAAGGACGTCTATGGTCATTTCTAAGAACACGGTGAACATGGCTTGCTGAAATTCCTAAGGCACCAGAAATTCTCCTACCACTTGTGGTCGGATTTCTATCAAACTCACGCAGAATCATATGGGTAAATCTCCGCTGACGAACATTTATGTTTTGATCCCTTTGGAGATTTCTAAAACTATTTTCAATTATTTGGCGATGCACTCTTACAAATACTGAGCGATTTGGGTGTCGTCTGTTTGGAAATCTTCGTGCGTATTCTCTGGCTGCTTCTGCTGCGTTTCCATTTACAAAGCCATACACAAAATGAATATCCGCTAACTCTTGATTGGAGAATAAAAATGGCATTTTTATAAAACTTACAAAAAAAAAGAGGCAAAAGAAACTAAATTTCGTGCATTCACAATTGCAAAAAAACGTTTCAGGTTTCAACAGACAACAAAACTAACTGTCAACTAATTGACGTTTAACCTTATTCTGCTTTCAATTTCAAAAATATTTGCAGGCACAGCCTACTTCTAAAAATTATCGAGATACTGACTTTTTAACGTTATTTTATCATAAATAATTAAAAATGCATCGAACCTTAAAAATCGAAATATCTCAAAAACGGCTAACTATAACGAAAATTCGCAAGGGACCTTTTTATGTTGAAAAGTGCGAGGAATCAGTTTTTCTATTCAAAAAGCAAAAAATTGCACTAAGAAAAATGTTTCGGTCATTTTAATACAGTACAGGTACAGTAGAGAGTGCCCTCTAGCGGCTACAGTAAAACTATGCCCATGGTTCCTTTTGTCGTACCAAAAAACCCTTGTATACCAATTTTCACTGTTATACATCAAATATTGTTCGGAATATTTAAAAAAAACTATTTTAGAAAGTAAATTTAAACACCCTGTATTTCGGAAGCCACGCATTTTTCGACCCATGTTTAAATAGACTTTATGCATTCATTTTAAAAGTTCTATCGAATCTTAAAGCTATGCAACAATAAACTGAAACACCCTGTATATATATATATATATTTGTATAATGATATATACATCAATTTAAATAATGTGGGGATTATTTTTATTTCATAATATAGATCAACGCCAACTTGCCCGTTTTGTTCTTTATTTACGGAGGCGGATTTATTGAAGGTGCTTCACTTGAAGCTTACTATGGACCTCACTTCTTGATGGAGGAAGGAGTTGTCCTCGTTACGTTTAACTACAGGGTGGGTCCTTATGGTAAGTAGTTTCGTCGACGGCTTACTCTCCCCCAGTGGCGTAGCTAGAAGTCATGGGGCCCCGGGGCAAACATTTTTTGGGGGCCCTCATGAGTTTGTTTAAGAATAAAAAATATGTTATAATAAAAAAATTGTTTATTGTCATAAAAACAAAAAGTAACACAAATTAAAATAATGAAATAACAAAAGTCAAAAAGTAAGCAATAATAAAATTAAAAATCCCTTTTTCTTGCTTTTCTATTTGCAAATTCGTTGATAATATCGTTTATATCATGGTTTTGGGCTTCTTCATTCTCTATAGAGAGTAAAGCAAGATCGCTTAATCTAATCCGGCCTGTAGTAGACCTAAGATAGTTTTTTACAAGTTTTAGCTTGTTAAATGATCTTTCAACAAATGCAGTAGTTACAGGCAACGTAAAAAATAAAAGGAACATTAAGTAAACTTCAATTAAGTCGCTTTCAAGTACCCCATACTTACTTAAAATTATATTGGAATATTCCTTAATTGATAGATCATTCTTAAGGTCTCTTTTACAAACATTTAACAAATTGGTATACTGAAATATTAAATTATTTAAATCAAATACTTCAGGATATTTGTTATAAATGGCTGTACATTTATTTTTAATGGATGTTTCATCGCAACTTAATATAATTTTTGGAAGAAGTAAATCAAACAATTTATTAATTTTTTTCATGTTCCTAAATCTATTAGAAATCTGTGTCAGAACACGGTTCATAACAACATTAAAAACATTTATTTTAAATAAAATTTGAGTATTATTAAATCTGTAATCACTTAAGAGTTCGTCAAAGTGTTTTTTAACTTTAGGTTGACGTTTTTGCCTGAATTCCGGTTGAATATTCCATTTGTTAGCCAGTTCCGTAGCTTCAATCATTAAAATTTCCTAAGAAGATCTTAAGTCAGTAAGGTTCTTTTCTACTTGTTCTAAAACAGTCACAGATTCACTTAAATCAATATTTTTCTTTTGAAGGACTTTTGAGGCGAAGTTAACCTGGGTAAAGATTTTATACAACATTGTTGAAATAAATACAAATTCAAAGCAATTTAATGGAAGAAGCTTCTTCTCTTTCTTCTTTTTTATGAGACTGTAACTCTATTTCTGTTAAAGATTTAATAATATCAAGATAACAAAGTTTGACAGCACTAATAGACAATATCCTTCCTGACCAACGAGTTGGATTTAATGTTTTTAAAGTTGTTCTGGATTCACTGGTAAAAGAAGCTAAAAGATCCCATCTATCAATACTTGAACCAAAAAAAGAATATATATTTTGCATAGTTACTTGTTCTTTTTCAGCATGCTTTTTTAATTTTTCCTCTTTTTCTAATTTCAATTTTCGTTTCTGTGCTCCAGACTGATATTTCCGCTTAACTTCCATTTTTATTTTTTTTGCGTTTTGTTCCGCAATCTGCTAATTCTGCAAAGAGAAGAATACACAACTATTTTTAAATGCATCAAATAGTTCGATAGTTGTGTATCAATTAGACTGTTTCAAAAAAATCTTCTATTTTTTTTCTCTCAAGTACGTCAAAAATATTGTTAGGAATGACGAAAAAAAAAAAACCTGTAAAAGTAACAGCTCTTAATATTAATATTAAGTGGTGCCGCATCGAAAATTTCAATTACCCTCGAAAAACTTTTGAACGAGTAGGTTTATCGGAAAATTGTAAGATACCTTTTTTGTAAAGCATTCAATTCCCTATTATAGCTACATACATTTAGGAACGCAAGCGTTTTCCTCAAATATGTAGCGTTTTAAAAAATAAACATTATTTATCATTATATTTATTATTTATTTTTCTTTCTAGTATACCTAGGTTATATTAGCACTGCCCCGGTTTGCCCTAGGATAGCTACGCTCCTGCTCTCCCATATAACAAATTTTAAAACACATAGATTAAATTGAACTTTCTGAAATTCATCAGATCTTTCCAACAAAGGAACTATAACTGGAGCTGCTAAATACAGTTATCCAAACTAGTTAATTATATGATGTTGCTTAGCTACAAGTTTAAGAGATATTGTCTACTGTAAATGACCATTTGGGACTATTAATAATTCATTGTTTGAAAGAACGGCATCTATTGACCGTAGTTACTCTCAAGATAATGAAATAGTAAGTCAGTAAAATGAGACACATGCATATTTTAAAATAAGCGTGGATAATACATATTACAAACAGGAATAACAATATTAAAAACGCTTTAAAATATTGGAAACATTAATCACTACGGATATACTGTTGCGTATCAATGAAGAATTCTTAATGGAGTTATATGCCTTGACCAAAATTAGTTCACCTACTTTTCTTTTGATCATCGGTAGATTTGAATCCTTGCAGAAGTTTGTTCAAAAGCTGTGGATAACATACATTTTTTGTCATTAATGCTATCACTGTAACGTTACTTATAGTTTGTAGAGATATCTCGGTTATGTACTATATCTCTCTCTTAAATGAGTACACAGATCTCATCTACTTTCAGGTTTTCTGTCAACTGGAGACGACCTCGTTCCTGGGAATGCTGGTCTTAAAGACCAAGTATTAGCCTTGAAATGGGTCAATCAGTACATTAAGTACTTCGGGGGTGATCCAAGTAAAGTTACAATTTTTGGTCAGAGTGCTGGGGGTGCTTCTTGTGCGTACCATATTATGAGTCCTTTATCCAAAGGTAGAGTTTATATAAGATAAAATTATAAAATAAAAATTCAAAAAGGAATAAATTGTAAATAGCTGCTTCAAGTGAACATTGTTGCTGCATTTTGCGACTCATCGACTTGTGCCTAAGTTTTGACTGTTCCCTCTTGGCTGATGAAGGATATTCGAATAAAAATAGGATCCTGTTTTTCAGGTTTATTCAGAGCAGCAATTTTGCTCAGTGGGACTTCTCTCAGTCCATGGGCATATCAAAGAAACCCCCAGAAGTGGTCAAGGAATTTAATTAACCTCATGGATAATGAAAACTATGAAAAATACAATACCTCTCAAAAAATATACGAGTATCTCAAACAGGCTCCAGCAGAATTCATTAACAAGGCATCGCTCAAAGTCCAAGAACAGGTAACTAATTTTCGTTATTGATATTTTTAGAAGATTTCTCAAAACTCTTCAAAAGTATCCTTATTATTTCATATCAGGACTCAATAAGGTTATCATATCTTAGCAGACGTCACGTTAATGTCGTGGCCACATCGTAAAATTACCCATTTCATGAAATTATCGAACATTTAAGCAAATAGTCGCATTTCATGAAATGTATCGTTTCCGTTGTGCGCTGACTATATCAATCAGAAATCGTCTATCGATATGATCAACCAACGGTGCCGCTAGTGAGATGGTCAAGCTTACTTGACAAAATCTTAAAATAGTTACATTACAACTTGGCGGCCGTTAATGATCAACTTGTTTTTCGAAGTGACCATTCTAATAATTGTGTCTTAATGAGGAAAAAAGAGATAATAAGACCTAACGACAAAAAGATACTCGAGTACTATGCGAGTCACGCAAACACAAAATTTTATGGACAACTGTTACTACTTTACGATGTGGTCAATCGATGATGACCAAACCCTTAAACGTTGAGGATTTCACGATAATGGTCAACTGTGGATGACCAAATCGTTAAACGTTGTCATTTTTTTCCAGGACCAATATAAGTATCTTCAACTGTTCCAAGGATTTTTCTTTGCACCAGTTTATGAACACGAGCATGATGGTGCTTTCATCACAAAACCAACATATGAAGCACTGGATCAGGGAGATTTTACTAAGATACCCATATTACTTGGTGCTACCAGTGAGGAATACTACTTCTATCTGGATGGTGGGTAATATAGAGCTAAAGTCCATACTCGTTATTCTGATGCTAGATCCTTAAAGTTTGAGCGAAAATTGACACGAAAGGTCATGTCAACTGGCATAAGGCATCGCAATCGTGTCCACCCTTCCAGATTTTCCTGTATTTCAACTTCCACTTGGCCTTAGATAACTTTATCCTTAATATTATTGAAATAGCGTTTGAACAAGATCTCAAGAGTTTTCCATGGTGGCATATTATATCGATAGATGACATTGAAGGTAAAATTAACTTTTTAACAGATAGTATTTTATGTTTATTTAATGTTCACTGTCCAAAAAAGGTAGTGCGTGTAAACAAAGCTCCAGCTCCTTGGTTGGATGATAATATTAAACTTGTATTCAAGGAGAGAGCTGAAGCTTTGTCAAAGTTCAAACGTGATCGTACAGCCGCCTCTTGGCAACAGTATACATATTTCAGAAATCGTGGATTGACGCAATTGCGAAGAGGAAATAATACAAGCTGTTCAAAATCAGGATATAAAAAAGTTTTATAAGACTCTAAAGACTTTCAAAGTACAATCTCAGAAAGATTCTACAATTCCCGTGAGCTTGTCAGATCCGTATAAAATAAATGAGGCATTCATTTCAATTTTCGAGAATAGTGATTTGGCTTGTGCTGATAAAATTGCATATTACCGAGCTAATAAAAATAACTCAAAATTCAAATTTCAATTTAATAAAGTGACTATTGACATCGTTGTTAAAATTATACATAAAATAAAATCAAATTCTAGTGGTACAGATGGAATAACTTTGCATATGATACTACTATGTATACCTGAAATTGATGTGTACTTAACGCATATTATAAACTGCTGTTTAGAGAGGAGATATTTCCCCAATCAGTAGAAACGCGCTATAGTGATTCCGCTACCTAAGTGTTCTGCTTCTACTAACTATGGTCAACTGAGACCGATCAGTCTACTGCCAATTTTTTCTAAAGTATTGGAACGCGTTGTTTACGAGCAGCTCTGCGCCTACTTATATTCTAACAAAATTATTCCATCTAAACAGTCTGGATTTCGACAAGGTTATAATACAGCTTCGGCACTCTGTGATTCAACAGACAATATAACAATGGCACTTGATAACCAAAAAGCAGTAGCTCTCATACTTCTTGACTTTACTAAAGCATTTGACACCATTAATCACTCACTTCTTGTATCTAAATGCAGTTATTATGGATTTTCTGAAAAACCTCTTTCGTTTATTCAAACCTACCTTGAAAATCGGTATCAAAAAGTTCGTCTAAATCAACAATACTCTACGGAACAAAAAATTTGTTCTGGTGTACCACAGGGATCAGTCTTAGCACCGCTATTATTTTCATTATATATCTCAGATTTAGAAACAGAGGTAAAATCATGCAGCATACAATTTTTTGCAGATGATACTCAAATTTTCTATTCATTTAGGAGTAATGACTTGGAAATGGCAAATAATAAAATTAATCAAGATCTTGCCCAAATTGAAAAGTTCAGTAGTAGTCATAATCTTCGTTTGAAGCCTTTGAAGACAAATATGTTGGTATACGCAAATAGAACAAAAAATAATACCTTAAAAAAGGACATAGACATACATTTAAAAGGTAATACATTAATTCCTGTGGATCATTCGAAAAACCTAGGTATTATAATTGATGATGACTTAAAATTTCTTGCACACGTGAACTATCTAATTACTCAGTGCTACGCTATTCTCAGAGTTTTATTTGCAAATAAGGCTATATTACATATCGAATGCCATTAATGAACTCAAATGGATGAAAGTTGATAAAATGCTCATAAATCTGCATCATAAGGTTCTTTATTCAAAAACACCGTCATATTTTGTAAACAAATTCATACGTAGAGGGAATATGCATCGTAAAAATATTAGACATAGAGAGACAATGCGATCAAATCATATAATTCTTTAGACCGCAGTTTAAAAGAAACCAATCCATTATCCAAATTCAAGAAAAAAGTGAAAGAAGTTCTTCTTGATCAGCAGCGAAATCGGTTGTAACCCATAAGTGTCCTCATATTTTCCTTATGTACGAGTATTTACTTGGATTATACTTTATTGTCGTTATTGTATACAGGTGCCTATTAATTTTCAACAAATTCTTTTTTTTACATCTCGTATTGTTAAGGGGGTTAGATGGTAGAATAGATATATAATCTAAATCTCGCCTCCTGTAAGAATATTACAAATAAAAGACGTTAATTAATATTATTATTATTAATAGAATGTGACCGCAACCAACGGTATACAATGTTGTTTGATGCATTTAAGCAATCATCAGTACGATAACGGTACATTCATTGGGACCAGACAGCAGAAGGAAAACAAGCCGATATGCATTTACTGCAAACTCAGTAACTAGTATGTGAAGAGTGATACTGCCACCTAACAACGGTGTATACGTTTGGTTATGGTCATAGAGAAGGAAAGCAAACAAATCTTGTTCAGTCTGTGTTTGCTTTATAAAAATCTTGCATAGTACGTACAGTGAGTGCTTCCCTGAGTGACGAGACGTCTAGGGGTCGAAAGTACTGCATTTGGCGCTCTAGTCATATGTGGCATTGTGTTATTATCTCGTTTTATTATAGATAAAGAAAATCTTAACCACATAATAGAAAGGCTGACAGAAAGTTACGACTCTGTGCCTGATGATATGCATGCTCTTGACGAAAACAAGGATAAGATCAAAGCTGAAATTATGAAGTTTCATACGTTTGGGGCTAAATACGCAGATAATTCTAGAGGCGTCGTAAAGGTAATTTCTTTAATTATCAAGTTTTTTGCATTTTTTTACTGTACAGCTTTAACCATTGAGTCGATCAATCCTGCAGTGCAAGAGTTTCATCAAGTAAGGGTGTCATTGACGAAATGTTGTATGCGATAGATTTGTAGAAAGATGGCTTCCATTTACTAATTGAGGTACTCATTGCTCGCACAAATCGAGTCAATTTTAAGCAAGCGCTTCCTCTGCATCAGATTAACAACTGGATATCCATTTGCATTCGGATTTTCACTATCAGTTTCTTCTGTATGTGACATCTCATCTCTAACGTAGGGTAAAACATAACCTTATATTTCATGATGTTTCGTAGTGGCGTTGTTCATTTTGTGTGTTTGAAGCTTTCTTTGTCGTTTTTGGCTTATGTTTTTCGTGCTTCGAACAACTTTGAGTAAGTGAGTGATTATCAGTACCTGAGAAATCTTGAGCCTTGTTGTTTGACTTGTCAACACCACAAAGTAAAGGCGCTTTTATAGCCTAACACAGCGTTTCGAGCTTTTCAGCGCTTGAAGAAAGTACCAAGGCATAGTTGTCTCATTGAGATCCGATATGCTGCTGTTGCAGTTGTAAACTAGAGGGTTGAAAATAGGACGCATGCTTTATCACCTAGTCACATACGAGCTAAGGCTTTAGCGCTTGAGAATTTATAGCTTGGTATACGCCCTAAAAAAATGTGAATAACATTCACGCATTTTTTCTTCCACACGTCGGGATCTCTGTAAGTTGGGGCCACAAATCACTGATATGGCTGGTAGTACTTCAGTTGCTCTGTTCTGCGTCGGTCCAATGTGGGTAATTGGACGCACTTTTATGAGAGGAATTCTAGAAGCTGTTTAACACAAATGTACGCGTTTATAAATTTGAATCGCATGCATTGCACTGTTCACACTTGCGACGCCATTATTTTCGCACAAAAACGACCGGACTGGGCTAATGTCTTGAGCCTCAAAAACCAGAGCAACCCTAACTGAGGTCAGGCGACGAGGTCTGCCATCTTGTAGGAGCATCGCCAAATCGAAGAGCAGTTTAGGCGTGTAACCAGAGTATTTACCACTTAATTCTGTTACCTTGTTGGATCTTATTTAAATTGGCATATTATTTCGAACTGTTTGTTTTATTCTTGTTATCATTATACTCGTATATAATAATAATAATAAATTACTTTATTGAATAAAACAAATAATCTTATCACAAAGGTAATTTAGAAAAAAAATACAGAATACATTGCCTAATATTGGCGCAAGTCTAGGTTAAAGCTACTCTACTGAACCAAAATAAGACAAAAAAAAATAACAATAGTAATAAGTCTTAAACAACAATACAGAATAATCATAATAATAATCACGTGTTAACACAAAATGGACTGAAGGTAAATTAAAATTTCAAAAAGATATTAACTATACTACAACTATTTAAAACTGTAATGACTCATACGCGTGATCAACACGTGATCAGAGCTCGATCCCGGCTTCCTTCCAGTACAGCCGTATAGCGTACGACATATGTCGTTTCTGTGGCTTTGCGGTGGTCAACAGCACAGACAGAGATGGAAATAATGGCTGATTGTTCTTCGCCGGTAGAACCAATGAAATCAAAGACGCGCCTCGACCGGCAGACTCATAGGCGTCGGCAACGCATTGGAACGTGTTTCGTTGAGCGATCGCATATTGTGTGTTTTTATAAGAATTGTTGTGTGATTGTTATTGTTGTGGTTTCTGTGGTTACTGTTTTGGTTATACTTAACCATGGAGAGTACAAATGGCACGAGTGTAAGTACCGAAAGCCAGGGAACAAGTAGACGGCTTCGTAAAGCACTGAAGAGGGACGCGAAAGAAATCGTGCTCAACGTGTTCAATTATCTGAAAAGAACTATGTCGTAGGGAGATGCACTCGCGCGTTGTGAAAGTATGACAGGCGTTCCAGAGTGGACCATTCGCAGGGTGGTGCATGAAAAGAAGAAAACTGGAGCTACTACTGATCCAAAGTTTAATTTGAAGGGAGGAATGGCCGTTAAATTGGATGACGATAGCAAAATGGCGTTAAGGCGAACCGTACATTCATTCTTCTTTAGGAATGAGATACCAACCCTCAAGGCTGTACATGCAGCGATCAAGGAAAATGAAATTATACCCCAAATGTGCGTCGAGGTAATGAGGAAATCCCTGCACGAAATTAATTTTCGTTACGAAACGCGTAATCGGAAGTCAGTATTGATAGAGAAACCTGAAATAGTCGCCTGGCGTCGAAAATACCTACGCGAAATGATTGAATATAGGCGACAAAGCAGAAAAATCTATTATTTGGACGAGACATGGGTAAATGCAGGTCACACAGTTAAAAAAACCTGGATAGACAAAAACGTAGTGAGTAACCGACAAGCAAGCATTGAAGGTTTGTCAACAGGTCTTCGTGGACCGTCAGGTAAAGGTCAAAGATTGATCGTAACTCATATTGGTAGCGATAGTGGCTTTTTAGAAGAGTGTGACTTGATTTTCGTCTCTAAGAAAGGAGGTGATTACCATGACGAAATGATTGCCAGCTGCTTCGAGAGCTGGTTTCAAGGGGTGCTTCAGCGATTTGAGCCCAACTCTGTGATCGTCATGGATAATGCTTCCTACCATAGTCGTCGAGCCGAACGTGTACCGACTATGGGATCTCGAAAAAGTGACATGCAGCACTGGTTGCACGAAAAAGGAATCCCGTTTGACGATTCATGTGTGAAAGCGGAATTGTATGAAAAAATTAAATAGCACAAACCTGCGAACATTAGTTACGTGACTGATGAGATGGCCCGTCAATGTGGTGTCACTGTGCTGCGGTTACCGCCCTACCACTGTGAACTGAACCCAATAGAGCTCATCTGGGCTCAAGGGAAGGGTTATATTGCGCGCCATAACACAACCTTCAAATTACCAGACGTTAAGGTTTTACTTGAGATTTCCAAACAGCTAATAACGTCCGAAGCTTGGCAGAATGCTATCCGTCATGTTGTGAAGGAAGAAACAAAAATGTGGCAGCTTGACCACCACATCGACACCATCATAGAGCCAGTTATAGTCAATTTCAACGAGGAAAGCGATAGCGACAGTTTATTACTGTCAGATGTAAGTGGAAGCGACGATGAATAAAGGTAATTCCCAAATTTTTGACTTACAATATGTTTCAAACCACTCTTTAGCATGTGACAAATCTAGTTCACCCATGTTAAACATTCATACCCCGCCTATGAACAGCCGACTACTGGTAATTAAGTGATGTTCACGTGAACATCGATGAGTCATTACAGTTTTAGATAGTTATAGTATAGTACTGGTCACTATAAAATTTGGTTACTGGTTACTATAAAATTTGCTTGACATATTTTTTCTACTTATATACCTATATTATAAACTTCAATCTATATTCTAAAAAAGTTTGTTCAGATTTTTATTTAGCAAATATTTCTTATATTGTATTTTGAAACTTGAAAGAGAAAGATTAAGGAACTGGTTGGGAATTGAATTAAATTGAATTGAATTAAATTATATCATTATACTCGCATTTGGTAGATATTCATTTCAAAGAGGGGTTTTCTTTAAAAACGTGCATAAGCGTTTGAAGGGTCGCCTTCAGCACCGTTTACATTCTAATAAAAAATAAACAGTTAATTGAATAACCGGTTTTTGAAATTCGATAGACCAGTTTTGTCCAGTTATTTTTATAACGTACGGTTAACCGGTTATTGAATCAAAAAGTGCAATCACTGAAACACAGGTGAGTTTGTTTTTTGTCTAGAATAGTCACCATGAATATGGACGCTCTGGCTCTTCCCAAAAATAAAATCCGCGCCGAAACGAAAGCGTTTTGATGCCATTCCAGAGATTGAATGAGCTATGCCAGAACATCTGAATGCCCTCTCGAAAGAAGCCTTCCAGAAATGCTTCTGGTCATGCATAAGTGCATCGCTAGCCAATGATGGTACTTGGGAGCAGATTTATTTAAATTTGATATAAGTTGACTAGTTTGTTCATAATAAAATTATTCACTGTATGTTTCTAACACATCTCGTAAAAAAGTGCGTCCTCAGCTCCGCATCAAACTGACAGCACGCATGGCATCATCAAACTTTTATATTTTTTTAGCTAATGAGCGATCATGACTTTGCGAAGTCTGTACTGAAGTTTGCCGAACTTCTAGCGAAACATTCGCAAAATCCATACCTTTATCAGTTCTCATACAAAGGAGTGTTAGCAGCTCAAACGAACCAGTCAGGTGATAGTCACGTAGATAAAATTTTAGCTAGAAATGCTACACACATTCGTCATCGAGCTTAGCGCTTCACTAGTTTAAAAGTTTTTCCTGGTTTTAGTTTTTAATCAACTAAAGTATGGCTGTACGGAGGATCGTTACTTTGTTCAGGATTTTAGACATTTTCAGAAAAACTGTGCCGTATAAAAAGGTGGAATCCATATGTATATATATAAATGTGAATGACTGTCCAATTTGTCGGCATCACGACTGAACCACAATACGGACACTTACTAATTGAAGCCCTCAAAAATATTCAGGGTGTTTATAAAGTCTGAATAGATCAAAATATCTCAAAAAACACTCTCCTATAGAAAAGTGCTGTACAAAAAGTTGTAAGGATTGAGAAGATTCATGCATTGGCGAACTTGAAGTGCCAAGGCAGTTTTCTTAAATAAAATCCCTACCTACTTTTGACAGCGAGAAATTTTACGTTAAAGCATGACTTTGCTTAAGACCTTGACCATGATGGTAATGGGTGTTAAAGGGAGTCCCGAAAATATCTCGAAAAATACGTTTCATAAAAAAGTTGTTTGATAGAGTTGTATGGTTTGAAATTATCCATTCAATGATGACCTTGAACGTGACCTTGGCTTCAAGCCCGTTTGGAAGTCAACACGATGTTCTTAAATGGAAGCTCCTATTTTTGACAACGGAAACAAAAAAAAAAGCAAGAAACTTTATGCTTAAGTATTTGTAAGTCGTTAACTAGAACCATCAAGGTCATTTGAAAAACAAACAAGTTTTTAACGGAAACAACTATTTTTAATACCTGAAATGCAAACTGGAGGCAACTTTAAGTTAAAATACACCCTTGCCAATAAACATGACCATAACAAAAATATTGAAGATAGCTTATTTTTGCACTGAAACGTTGGATTAAAGATGAAAGTAACTATTGCGTTGCTTTGAATGTCGCATTTTTCTCCGAAACCAATGTTCATTACATTAATGCGGAGCCATTAGTCTTACCGTAATGCCTTCGTATAGCCGGGATCTTGAACAGTGAGGAGCCTCTTGCAGAATCGACGCTTAGGCAACCAGTTACGCGACCGTGTGTGAGCGCTTGCGGCGCTCTCCAATAATTGGTTACGCCGAGATTCATGAATAATTGAGAACCGTCTGGAGGCATCTGCTGCCATCTATGCTAATTTTGAGGAATTTCATGACTTGGTCTGGAAAGCGCTGGAACATTTCTCGACGCGTCGATAGGAGGATAAATGCTAGACCAAATGGCGGAAGCAGTAAGTCTCATTCGAGACAGTCAAACAACGTGGAATGTCGTAGTCCAGACAAGATTGTTAGAAATTGTCGTCAAAGTGTTATAAATTACTGTTAAAGTAATAAATTGGACTCTGGACAGTAGAAACGGTGCTTTACTTATATTATATAGGGCCTTAAAAGTCTTATATTTTACATATGTACGTACAAAACTAGAATATGCGAGTGTTGTATGGAATCCGTATTACCAGACTTATATAAATGATATTGAGAGGGTCCAAAGAAAATTTCTAAAGTTTCTATACTTCAAATCTGAAGGAGTTTACCCTGAGCAAGGCATTAGCAATATGGAACTATGTGAGCGTTTTGAAATTCATAGTTTAGAATGCAGAAGGAAAGTTTCATCTGCCATATTCCTTTTTAAACTGCTAAATAGCATTATTGACTCCCCAGTCATTTTGGCGCAGATTAATTTCAATGTTCCTTCGTTCTCTTCACGCAACTATGTAACTTTTAAGCTATCAAGAGCTAGGACCAACTTGTTAGTCAAATCTCCTATATATGTTATGTGTAAACATCTAAACTGTATTAGCTGTCATTGTGATATATTTACTTGTTCGCTTAACTCAGTAGTTAGAATGGCTTATTTATATTTGAAATAACTTCTTTTTTTTTTTTAACACCACTGAATATTATTTAATTGTGCTTATGTAATTGTCCTATAAATGGGGTAACTGTTGGACAATAAACGCTATTATTATTATTATTATTATTATTATTATATGAAAGCACTATCATTATCTGATTGGTTGGCACATACAACACTCAGGGTTAACTTACTTTTGATATTAAATAATAGCTGCATTCGTTCTCCCTGACTTTGCCTGCCAGATCTGATTGACCTACTGACCATACTTTAACCAAGAGCAAGGGTCCTACGGACCTCTCTGAGAAACAATGACGAGTAGAATAGCTGCATTTGCAAATGAAGTGAGTGAGTCCAAACAACGATGAGGCTCTCAAATCAGTGGATATCCAACTCCATTCAGAGTTCAAAAAGAACCGTAGACTTAACCTTTACTAAAACATAACCCGAAAAATTGAAATTTTATCATTATGGAGCTACACTCAAGACTAAACATTTTTGTAGTTTGCTGACATGGATGGCCGCGTGAATATATGTGTAAGCAAAGTCAAACAAGAATGTAAGATTTTAAGGGAACTGTTGTATGTTACAGCCAAACAATGTTGTCAATGAGTAGATGAAATGCCACTGAATTACTAGGTGTCAACAACAAAATGTCTGAACACTGACGTAATGTCAACTCTGTTTGACGCAAATGCAAATACCATGGCAGTAATGTTATACCAGTATATAGTAGTTAATATGTTAACAGCGATACCGTTCTTAAATCATTAGACTACAATGACACATTTCCTTGTGGAAACCTAATCTCCTATTTATTAGTATCTACCCCTTTGCGGTGGTAGAGGGTTAGACCATGCAGTTAAATATGCTAAGCCTGTCGGAAGGGGTATACTTGAGAATTGCGTCTCTTTACGAGTGTAGATAGTCAATTTTGACGTTGCGTTTACAAATAGTATCAATTTCAGACGAAAGCGAGATTTAAATAAATATTCTTCACCTACGTGTGATGAAAAATGTATTTATTATATCTCATTTGGATCCTCCGAATTTTCCGCTGAAAGAATCAGCTAATAGGATTTGATTTTTATTCTCGATACTAATGGGTGATTTTTTAAGAGGTATAGGATTTGATTTAAAAAAAAACACAAACAATTTGAAAAAACGATTAAATCTTTATTTGAGTCGATAGAACGGTCGATATAATTTAATGTTTAAAGATTATTTCATGTAAATGTTGGCCGCGGCTCCGCTTTAGATGGCCCATGCGCAAGGTCCAAATTTGGCACACTCTTTCCAACATATCGGCCGGTATCTCACGAATTAATGCTTCAATATTGGCTTCCAGTGCGTCAATCGTTGCTAGTTTATCTCTGTAGACATTAGCCTTAACATGGCCCCACAAGAAATAGTCCAACGTGAGATAAAGTGTTCACCGAACTCGCCTCTCAATAGGGCCATTGTTTCGTGTGCGGTGTGGCATGTGGCACCGTCTTGTTGAAACCACATGTCAGCCAAGTCCAGCTCTTCCATTTTGGGCAAAAAAAAGTTTGTTATCATCGCACGGTAGCGCTCGCCATTCACAGTTACGTTCCGGCCATTGTCGTCTTTGAAGAAGTACGGCCCGATGATGCCACCGGCCCATAATCCACACCAAACAGTGATTTTTTCGGGATGCATTGGTAGCTCTTGCAATGCTTTTGGCTGGTCTTCACTCCAGATGCGGCAATTTTGCTTGTTAACGTACCCATTCAACCAGAAATGAGCTTCGTCGCTGAACTCAATTTTTCGATAAAAATGTGGATCTTCCTCCAACTTTGCCAGCGCCGATTCACCAAATTGGAAACGTTGTGGGAGGTCGTGTGGCTTCAATTCTTGCACCAGCTGTATCTTATAAGGTGTTACACCCAAAATTTTCCACGTAGTGGAGTAACAGAGGCCCAATTGCTGCGAACGGCGGCGAATCGACATTTCACGGTCATCACTAACACTGGCGGATACAGCTGCAATATTTTCTTCAATCCTCAGTCTACGTCTGCGTGTTGGTGGTTTAATGTCCAATAATGTAACCTGGGTTCGAAATTTAGTCACAAGCTTCCGAATAGCTCCCGGCGGTAGGCCGACTAAATTGCCCATAAATTGGAAGCAGTGCTCGATGCACTCTCTTAACCGAGCATGAATTTTGATAGTAAAATTCAATCATTTGCAAGCGTTGTTCGTTCGTAAGTCGATTCATGGTTAAATTATAGTCCAAACTGAACAAGTTTGACAATGACACAAGACACGATTCACGCGTCATCTCTCAAAAACAGTGTTGCCAAAAAGATACTAGCAAAAAAATCACCCATTAGTAGAACGTGACCATACATTTCATATCTAACTACCAGCGTCAGAGGATAAATGTTATTCTCATAATATCTGAGGGAAACTTAATTCTTATGGGAGGAGTAGGGTTATATCTAAGAGCAGGGCAGGGAAAAACTTATTACGTCTCTCATAGACATGAAACATGTATAAGATCTACTAGCAGTAGACCTACGAAAGACAGTTCTGCAACTTCTTGTTCACAAAAAGTGAACTATACTCAGTGACAAAGGAAATAGAACACCAGTAAAAATAATTTTATATGAGTGAAATTTTGTATTGGACGAGGGTAACATGAAGTAGTTGTAGTAGGTCCAGTGTCGGAGGAGCTAGAGGAAACACAAGAACAAAATAAAAATCGCTCAAACTTCATTTTTGATGTTCGAGAAGCTCCTGATCATTTTTAGAAAAATACTTGTCGGGGTTACATTTGCCATTGAAACTTATGTTGAGAAATATTTATAGATTCTTGTGATTCAGCACTGTTGCCAGATGGTCAAGAGCAGAGAAGAAACTATCAAATGGGTGGGGACTATTGAGTATGGGCCTGTTCGGCTGACTTGTTCCATTTAATTTTTGAGTCATACATATTTGTAGCTAGCTCAGAGGGACTAACTTGTGTCGAACATAATCGTTTATGAACTACTGACAACATTGGAAAGTGCAGAGTCAATCTAATTGACATAACTTGTTAGGTTATATAATACGTGTGACGTGTGCCCTGCCAGCACGC